TTGGGACCATCTTACAGAACTGAGAGAACTCACCCTAAAAATGGTCCTTAGTATCATAGGTAGATGGTTTGTGATCACCAGCCCCTCTCAGTGAGATTCTGATTATAATACTATAAAAAATAAATAAGGTACAAAGTCTCCCCCTCAAAAGCCCAAGTTTGTCTACATGTAGACCCAGGGTCTTTTGTCCTAACTGTGGAATAGAAAAAAGCAGTTATTTCCTGTTGGTGCCCAAAACTAGACAGCTTCAAGGATTCCTGGGAATGTCAGGTTTCTGCTGCATCTGGATCCTAAGTTATGGATTATTGGCAAAACCCCTATGTGAAGCATGAAAGCATGATGAGCAAGTACCTCTGGAACCCGGAATGCTAGCAGGCCTTGGAGGCCCTACAGCCAGAGCTGGGCTACACCATGGCTCTAGGACTTCCAAACCTAGAAAAGCCATTCATTTTTATGTCTGGTAGGTTAGGAGCTGCCTTAGGAGTTCTGATTCAAAGGCTGAGACCTATCCAGAGACTGGTGCATTCTTTTCAGAACCACTGAGCTCTCTGGTTCAGGGATAGCCCAGTTGCCTAAGAACAGAGCTGCCATTCCCTTGTTGGTCAACAAGGCCTCTAAATTGATGCTGGGACAACCCATAGAGGCACAAACCCTTCAACAGGTGCAGACAGTGTTAGAAGTCAAAGGGCACCATTGGCTGACAGGAAGAAGACTTCTACCAGATTGCCCTGACAGGTCTGTCAGACTCTTAAACCTGAACATGCGTCCACCTTGCAGCCCAGGTGAGGGGCCTGCAGCGTCACTGTAAGACAGACCTCCTCCAGCAGGCCTGACCTCTGGGACGAGCCCCTCGAGAACCTGCGTGCTGAATGGCACACGGATGGAAGGGCTGTTACAGAGGGAGCAGTGTGGGTGGCAGGCTATGCTGTGGAGAGTTTAACTGATGCCATAGAGCAGGAGCACTATCACCCCAAACCTCAGACCAAGAGGACAAACTGATTGCTCAGATTCAGGCCTTATAATTGGGAAAAAGTAAAACATTCAATATTTATACCTATTCAAAGTACAGGTTTCTGGTAACTGCATGCCCACACCACCCATATGGTAGGAAAGGGGAATGTCATGAGCTGAAAACTCTGGTATTAAACATGAAGACCTAATCATGCTTCTTTGAGAGGCAGCTCAGCTTCCTCAGCAGGTGGCAGTTGTTTACTGAGAGGATGCATCCAGCGTGGACCAGGGAAACAGTAGGAAGAGAAGGCCACCAAACGGGGGAGGGGGATCAGCCTGCGGAGCCTGACAAGGTGCTGACCCCAATAATAGATCCTTCCACGTTCCCCAGCCGTCCCCAGTAGCCCCAGCAAGAATATGAGGAGGCTGAGGTTGGGATACAAGATGAGGATATCAGTGGTTCCTCAAAAATAGTGGAGTTCTCCCAGGATCAGACCAACAGAAGCTCATTAAACTCTTCCATGATGCTGCCCGCTGTGGGAGAGAGAACTGGTGGAAACTGATCTATGGGGTCTTTACAGGGAAAAACCATAAAGTAGGTGACCCTGCCCTGTGAAGTCATGTGTCCACAATAATCCCCCAGACCATCCTGTCTTACCTTCATTGATAAAACCACTCCACCATGGAGGGACACACCCAGAAGACTGACAGATGGGTTTTACAAGATGCTCCCTAGATCTGGACTCCAGTACTTTTTGGTGTTCACCTGTACCTTTACAGAGTGGAGGGTGCCTTCCCACTGCACTGAAAAGGCCGTAGAACTTTGTAGACTCCTCTTTTGGGAGATAATCCCTCATTTTAGACTCAATCCCTCCAGAGTAATAATGGGCCGTCCTTCCTAGCAAATGTTGCCCAGACCCTCTCAGGCCCCCAGGAATGTGCCATAAGTTACATGCCTCCTGGCTCCCCGAGTGTACTGGAAAGGTTGAGCAAATGAATCACATCCTTGAGAAAACCATAGCCACGCTCTGCCAAGAAACACACAAACCATGGACCAAAAGCTTCCCAAAGCAATCCTCAGGGTCCACACTGCCCCCAGGGGTGTGATGTGTGGAAGACCTTTCCTTACCACTGACCTCACTGACAGGGGCCTGATCAACCCGGGACAGGTCGAGAGTCATCCTGGAACATGGAGCGCAGGTTTGCCAGCTCCTCAGGAGACATCATCCCATGCCCAGTTTCAACCAGGGGACCAGGTTTTGCTTACAACTTAGAGTGGAAAGGACCATTATTGAGGGATCTTGGCCACCCTTACTGCAGTAAAATGCAAAGGAGTCCCCAGCTGGGCCTACCTCTCCCAGTAAAGCAGGTCTCTTCTAAGCCCCATAGGCCGCTCCCAAGGAGCCCACCTACTACTGCGAGCCAGTGATGGAGCTGAGACATCTCCTCAAGGGAAGAACAGATGAGCTCCAGCAGCTCTGTGTCAGGCTGACACTGGCTGGGGCTGTCACCCACCCCTCCATCAGAAGAGCCAAGGTCTAATCGAGGGCAAGGGATTTTACACCTCCAAGGTTTAGAGTTCAGCTGTCCTTCCTCAGCAGACAGCACTACACACGATGAGACCTTTGTCCCCCTCTCCAGGAGAGAAGCAAGGGTCACTCACTCAAGCTCTTCCTGACTTACTGTGTGTCCATCCCCAGCTCCAAACCAGTCAGGAACAAGGACTATCTAAACCCTGACTGCAGAAGATCCCCTACTGCCATGATAGGAACTTCCCCAGTCTGCATGCCTGCCCAGAACACCCCTGGGTGACCCGTATGTGGCCTTCCTGGGGTGATGGTAGTGAGTAGCACACTGTTTTTTGAGTGTGTCATGTGTACAGAAACCCATAGTCACCTACACAGAGCACTGAGCTAAGTGCAAACCAAACGAAAATGGCATGTGCCAAGGAGAATGAGCCAAGGAGAATGAGCCAAGGAGAAGTGCAGTCTGGGTGCTGATCCACACGCTGTGTGTGGGGAGTTCACACCTCCTCAACCCTGTAAAAGTACCTGTTCAGCTCCCGTGAGGGAGTCAGGTGGCGAAACCTCTTCTTGCTGTGCTGTCTCTAGTGTTTGAGGATAAGCCCCCAGTAAGCCTTGTCTGGGTTGCATGGTGGCCTCTTGCCAAATGCTGCTTGCAAGTGAGTCAGAGAACCTGGAGTTGGTAACACTTCCTCCTCGGCTGTGCCTCTGGTGCCCCAGTGTGAAGACTGCTTTCATTGTCTCCCAAGAACCAGCCCCTGATAGTACCCTAGGGTGGGAGCACTGAGAAGAACCAGGGGATCCAGAGATTGCCCTCTTTGTTTAGTTCCCTGTGATGTTGCCATAACCAAAGGAGCCTGGTCCTCAACCCTGGACTTTCTGGAGATTTCTCTGTGTAGATAGAGTTGAGCCTCCTGTGGCTAGCTCAGCATCATTTGTCTTGGGTTGGCCATGGCAGTTAACCACCTGCCCATCTGTTTTCTGTCTTGTAAGGTTTTGTTTTGGAATGTTGTCTCTTCTATGATTCTCTCTTTGTCTTTAAAAATAACTTTACTGAGATAGTATATAACAAGAGTTTACCCTGTAAAGTATTAATAAGGGTCTTCAAAATGTTCACAGGAATGCATATTTTGCAAAAAGCTATACATGGAATTCAAAAATGTTTTGTATCAAGACTCTATCTCTTAATTCCATTTTCCATGAACTTCTTGATGTACCCTCATATACTTTATTTTTTTAAAGATTTGTTTATTCAAAAGTCAGAGTTACACAGAGAGAAGAGAGGCAGAGAGAGAGAGAGATCTTCCATCAGATGGTTCACTCCCCAATTGGCTGCAACGGCCAGAACTGCGCCAATCCAAAGCCAGGAGCTTCTTCCGGGTCTCCCACACGGGTGTAGGGGCCCAAGGACTTGGGCCGTCTTCTACTGTTTTCCCAGGCCATAGCAGAGAGCTGGATGGGAAATGGAGCAGCCAGGTCTTGAACTGGTGCCCATATGGGGTGCCGGCGCTTCAGGGTGTTAACCCACTGAGCCACAGTGCCGGCCCCACCCTCATGTACTTTAAAACGTACATAGTTCAGTGGCTTTAGTATATTCAGAGACTTGTACAACCATGAGCATGGTCTAATTCCAGAATGTTTTCAGCAGCACAAAAAGAAACTCGGATCCATTTGCAGTAGCCCCTGGCAACCACTGATCTACTTTCTGTGGGTTTTCCTATTCTGACCATTGTATATAAAAGGAAACATGTAATATATGTAACTGACTTCTTCCATTCAGTACAGTGCTTTCAAAATTCATCTCTGTCATAGTATAGATGAGTACTTTGTTCTTCTTTATGACTGAGTAATATTCTATTGCATGGATACAGCACATTTTCTCTGTCTTTTCATCAGTGAGTGGACATCTGGGTCTTGTAGCTTGTGCATTAAGCAACTCCATTTCCAGGAATGAAATTTCAGGAAAGAGGACCCCTGGGTATGTGTGTGTGTGTGTGTGTGTGTGTGTGTGTGAGAGAGAGAGAGAGAGAGAGAGAGAGAGAGAGATCCACCATCTGTGATCTCCTCTGGCTTGTGAGTTCTCTGTGGCTGTCACTAGTCCTTACCCACTTGGGGCTGGGGCCTAGGCTGAAGGAAAGCAGTGTTGATTTTCTTCTCTGAGTTAGCAGAAGCTGTAGTGGGCAAGTCCTCCCTGATCCTGTCTTCTCAGCCATAGAATAAAGATACTGAAGTAGACCAGTCATTCCCGAGCATGGTCTGGCCCCCTTTCTGCACAAGGGCCTAGGCCCAGGGTTGCTGCAGCACAGATGCAGGCTCGGGGTGGGAAGTGGGAAGCATGCAGCTGGCATGGCTCCCATGGGCTGGCGTCTTCATAAACCAGACACAACAGGGCAAGCCATGATTTTATAGCTTTGCCTTGGGATGTGTAGTCCATTTTACCTCTACTTAGGAAGAATTAAAATAACAATGCAAGGGAGGAAACAAACACTTTTTCCTTCAGGTCGTTCCTTCTCAACTGTTTTGCAGACTACTGCAGTTCTTAAATCCGGACCCTTTGAGAGCTGATGGAATCTCTGATCTACAGCAGGTATTTCAGGCCCTAAAAATGTTAGAAGAGAGAGGGAACAGTTTTCTCTGTCAGTCCCTCACTTTTCTCCCTCCAGACTTGGTATGAGGAGAGAAACTCATAGATGAAGGACTTTACCTGGAGATACCTTTTCAGAAATTACCCAGTGAATCACTGCTTTAAAGAAATGGTTATTTTTTTTTAACTTCTTTAGGTATTTGGTTATTGTGTTTTCAACTTGGCAGTGTGGGTGCATTTTTTAAGTTAATGGACTTGGGTTTTCACACTGTGAACTTTTTTTTTTTTTCCAGTTTTGTAAAGTTGTTGCTACCCTGTACTTCAGGGCAGACATGGTTGTGTGATACCTGTATCTGCTTAGTTGCAGAAGTTGAAGTCGGCTGTGCAACCGCCTGTTGCAGTGCTCTGGAACAGGATCGAGCCCTGCTTGACCATTGACACGTCCCCTCTTTCAGCAGACCTGAAAAAGGTAAGTGCGCTTGTGAACCCAACTCCTGAAGAGGCACCGTCCTCCTCCAGCATGGAGTTCTTCATAAACACATCTATGGTTCTACTTTGCTTTGAAGTCCTCCCCTAAGCTTTTTTTTTAAATAATTTTTTTAGAGATTTATTTTATTTATTTGAAAGAGTTACAGAGAGAGGTAGAGAAGAGAGAGAGGTCTTCCATCCACTGGTTCACTCCCCAGATGGCTGCAATGGCCGGAGCTGTGCCTATCCAAAGCCAGGAGCCAGGAGCTTCTTCTGGGTCTCTCACATGGGTACAGGGACCCAAAGACTTGGGCCATCTTTCACTACTATCCAAGGTAATAGGAGAGAGCTGGATAGGAAGAGGAACAGCTGGGACTAGAACCGGCACCCATATGGGACGCTGGCTTTAACCTGCTGCGCCACAGTGCTGGCCCCCTCCCCTAAGCTTTTGCTGCTAACTTCTCACTGACTCTTCAGCCCAGGCTGAGTCTAAGTGAACAGTACTTTTGGGAGAAGCTGTTTTGTGACTGCAAGCCTTGCGAAGCCCATGTTCAAATGTGCCTCTGAAAAGGGGCTCCAAGGAACAGCCAGTGGCCAGGGCAGATGTAACACACGTACTTCTGAATTGGTCTTCTCCAAACTGCCTCACAGACGATGCTTTCACTTGGCAAATTCATCATGTATGATTACTTCCTGGTAGAAAAGAAAGGTTCAAAATATTTTTTTAAAAAATGGATACAGGAGTTTTCAAGATGGTGTATTATGGAAGGAGCTTACTGCTCTAGACTAGGGGAAGATAGTTAAAGAAGTGGAGAGAGTGCAATCTCAGGGAAGAGAAAATGGCAGAGGAAACTCCATACAAATTAAGAGGGACACCACGGACCTAGGTGGAGGGTGTAGATGTGCACAACTCAGGACCCCAGCAGCCGAGAGCCTCAGCACCAGCTTTGGAGAGTGAGGTGAGACCAGACTGCAGCAGCCCAAGCCAATGGTGATAAAGCTGTGGGAAGAGCCTGGTGTGAATCCAACTTGGAGCCCTGTGGAGGACAGTATACCTGCCAACCTAGAGGGAAAAAAATGGGGCGCGTTTCTCTGTGCACAACCACCTGGCACCAGTGCCCTGTAACTAGCCAGTGAACATACGTAACAGCTGCTCCAGCTCATGTCTGCATGCCCAGCAACCAGCTGAGAGGAGATGCCTGAGTCTGGCTGGGAGAACTGACAGGGTACTGGGGACTTGTAACTGTGGGAGCCTTGTGTGCCAGGATGGGACTGCATGGGAGGGCGCAGGGTGTGGCTGGGACTTGGGGCAGTCACTGTGGGCGGTTGCACATGTTCAGGGCTCCCAGATTGCCTAGTGAGGGTCACTGCTTCAGGATCCGGGTTTACACTGAGAACTGCACAGATCCTTTGGGTGTTCTTGTGGCAGCATGGATGAAAATTGTATCTACTAGGGCTAGCACCCAGGCCTTGGTCTACTTTGAGGAGAGGAGGTGATGAGCTGAGTCTAGACCAACAGCAGAATAAACCTCCCCTCTGATAATAATAATAATAATAATGATAAAAGATTTACCATGCCCAACATAAGTGTAACCTTGGGGACTCCCCTCACCTTGGAGCACTGAACAGAACTTCTTGACTACACCCAACTCATGCCTGAATATATTCACTGAAAGAGCAGACACTCCACAAAGGCTTAGTCCAAAAATAAAAGCTATCACAGAGAAAAAATAAGAACAAAAAGTATCACCACAGATGCCTAATAATAAACAGCAATTCAAGAAACAAGAATAAGGAAGATAACATGACATCCTCCAAAGAACATAGCACTTCAGTACTAAAATGTAAAGATGAAGAGATTGATGAAATGCCAAATGGATTTCAAAAAATTGATTGTAGAATTACTTAAAAGTGATCAAAAGCAAATTCAAGAGGTAAAGAAATATGTACATGACATGAATGAAAAATTTTCCCATGAAATGGACTATTCAAAGAGAAATCAAAATATTAGAAATGAAAAATTCAGGAGGTCAAAAAATGTACTGGAAAGCCTTAACAACAGACTTGGTGAAACAGAAGAAAGAATATATGAAGAGAAGTATCTGGAAATTTTACATTCAGACCAAAAGAAAAGAAGAAGAAATTAGAAAACTGAAAAACACTGTTGGAGATTTATGGGATACTCATAAGCGACCCAATAGATAGGTTTTAGAAGTTCCTGAAGCTGTGGAAAGAGAGAATGGATTAGAAGGCCTTTTTAATGAAATAATTACACAAAACTTTCCCCAATTTGGACAAAGAAGGGGATGTCCAAGTACAGGAATCACATAGAACTCCTAATAGACATGACTAGAAAAGATCTTCACTGTGACAAATTGTAAACTCCCTACAGTAAAACATGTGGAAAAGATGCAGGAGAGAAATGCCAGGTTACTTTCAGAGGATCTCCAGTTAGACTCATAGCTGACTACTCATCAGAAACCTTACAGGCTAGGAGAGAATGGTGAGATATATTCCAATTTATAAGAGGAAAAAACTGTCAACCCAGAATACTGTACCCTGCAAAGCTGTAATTTATGAATGAAGGTAAAATAAAGACCTTCCATAACAAACAGAAATTAAAAGAATATGTTGGGGCCAGCGCTGTGGTGTAGTGGGTAAAAATGCCTCCTGCAGTGCTGGCATCCCATGCAGGCACCATTTCTAGCTAGTCCTAGTTGCTACATAAAGAAACACAAAACATGGTCATCACTATGAAAGAAAGTGAAGGCAAAAAATCTCCCAGTAAAAGTACAAAAGAAATCCAAAGGAAACAATAGGAATATTTATGGAAAAATGGCAGGGCCAAGTCAAGTCGTTATTTATCATTAGTCACCTTGGATGTAAATGACCTCAGGTCTCCAGTTAAAAGATACAGACTGTCTGGATTAAAAAATAAAACCCATCTATTTGCTGCCTACAAGAAACACATCTCACCAAGAAAGATGCACGCAGACTGAAAGTGAAAGGATGGAAAAAGATATTCCATGCTAACAGAAACCAAAAAAGAGCTGGTGTAGCCATCCTAATATCAGACAAAATAGACTTTAACACAAAAACTGTTAAAATATGCAAAGAAGGGCACTACGTAATGATTAAGGGATCAATTCAACAGGAAGATGTGACTATTATAAATGTATATGCACCTCATTACAGGTCACCTGGTTGCTTAAAAAAATGTTGATGAATCTAAAGGGAGACATAGACTCTAATACAGTAGTAATGGGGGACTCCAATATCCCACTTTAAGCATTGGACAGATCAACCAGACAGAAAATCAACAAGCAAATAACACAGTTAATTGACACTACAGACCAAATGGATCTAACAGATATCTACAGAACTTTTCATCCTACAGATGCAGAATACACGTTCTTCTCACCAATGCATGGAACTTTCTCTATGATACACCACAAGTTAGGCCATAAAGCAGGTCTCAGCAAATTCAAAAATATCAAAATCATACCATACATCCTCTCGAATCACAGTGGAATGAAGCTGGAAATCAACTCAAGAATCTCTAGAACATAGGTAAACACATGGAGACTGAACAACATGCTCCTGAATGAACAGTGGGTCATTGAATAAATCAAAAATTTCTGGAAGCAAATGACGATGCATCAAAACTTACGGGATACAGCTAAAACAGTGTTAAGAGCACAGCACTCGGTGTCTACATCAAGAAATTAGAAAGGCACCAAATAATGAACTATTATTGCATCTCAAGGACCTAGAAAAACCACAGCAAACTAAACCCAAAATTAGTAGGAGAAGAGAAATGATTTTTTAAAGATTATTTATTTGAAAGTCAGAATTACACAGAGAGAGGAGAGGCAGAGAGAGAGAGGGGGAGGTCTTTGATCCGATGGTTCACTCTCCAGACGGCCACAACAGCCAGAACTGTGCCGATCTGAAGCCAGGTGCCAGGAGCTTCTTCTCGGTCTCCCATGCAGGTGGACCCCGTGGACTTGGGCCATCTTCTACTGCTTTTCTGGGCCATAGCAGAGAGCTGGACAGAAAGTGGAACAGCCATTTCTCGAACTGGTGCCCATATGGGATGCCAGCGCTTCAGGCCGGGCGTTAACCCACTGTGCCACGGCGCTGGCCCCAAGAAAAGAAATAATTAAAAATGGAGAAGAAAAAAAAACAAAATTGAAACAAAAAAAGCAGTACAAAACATCAGGGAAGGGTCCAGTGCCGTGGCTCACTTGGTTAATCCTCCGCCTGTGGCGCTGGCATCCCATATGGGCACTGGGTTCTAGTCCCAGTTGCTCCTCTTCCAGTCCAGCTCTCTGCTGTGGCCCGGGAAGGCAGTGAAGGATGGCCCAAGTGCTTGGGCCCCTGCACCCGCATGGGAGACTGAGAAGAAGCACCTGGCTCCTGGCTTCAGATCAGCACAGCGCTGGCCGTAGTGGCCATTTAGGGGGTGAACCAATGGAAGGAAGACCTTTCTCTCTGTCTCTCTTACAGTCTATAACTCTACCTATAAAAAAATAAAAAACAAAACAAAAACAAACAAAAAAACCCAGAGAAACAAAGAGCTGTTTTTTTGAAAAAATAAACAAAATTGACAGGCAGACCATTGGCCAAACTAACCAAAAGGAAAAGAGAAAAAAGAGGGAGAAGACCTAACAATAAAATCAGAGATGAAAAAGGAAATGTAACAGCAGACACCACAGAAATAAAAAGAATCTCAGAAATTACTACAAAGAACTATATGCCAACAAATTGGGAAACCTAGAAGCAATGGATAGATTCCTGGATACATACAACCTACCTAAATTGAGCCATGAAGACATAGAAAACCTGAACAAACCAAAAACCAAGATGGAAATTGAATCAGTAATAACTGATCAAGAAACGCCCAGGACCAGATGGCTTCACTGCTGAATTCTACCAAACTTTTAAAAAACTGACTCCAATTATTTTCAAACTATTCAAAACAATTGAAATGAAGGGAAACCTCCCAATCTCCTTTCATGAAGCCAGTATCACCTCAATTCCTAAACCTGAAAAAAAGCACAACAGCGAAAGAGAACTATAGACCAATTTCCTTGATGAACATAGATGTAAAAATCCTCAATGAAATACTAGCCAACTGAATGCAGCAACTCATCAGAAATATTATTCACCAGGACCAAGTAGGTTTTATCCCTGGTATGCAGGAATAGTTCAACATTCACAAATCAATCTATGTGCTACCTCACATTAACAAACTGAAGAACAAAAACAATATGATTATCTCAATAGATGCTGAGAAAGCATTTGATAAAATACAATATCCTTTCATGATAAAAACTTTGAGCAAATTGGGTATAGAATGAACATTCTTCAATACAATCAAGGCAATTTATGATAAACCCACAGCTAGCATCCTATTGAATGAGGAAAAGTTGGAAGTATTCCCACTAAGATCTGGAACCAGACAGGGATACCCACTATCACCATCATTATTCCGTATAATCCTGGAAGTTTTAGCCAGAACCATTAGACAAGAAAAATAAATCAGAAGGATATAAATTGGGAAGGAGGATGTTTGCAGATGAAATGATTCTATATATAGGGCATCCAAAAGACTCCATTAAAACTATTGGAACTCATAAAAATGAGTTTGGTGAAGTGGCAAGATAAAAAATCAACACAAAAAATCAGTAGCCTTTGTATACATAGACAATGCCATGGCTTGATTCTAAGATCAATCCCATTCACAATAGCCACAAAAAAATTAAATACTTCTAAATAAATTTAACCAAGGATATCAGTGAACTCTACAATGAGAATTACAAAACATTAAAGAAAGAAAGAGAGGAAGAAAAAAATGGAAAAATCTTCCATGTTCATGTATTGGAAGAATCAATATCGTCAAAATGTCCATACTGCTGATAGCAATTTACAGATTCATTGTGATAACAATCAAAATACCAAAGACATCCTTAGATACAGAAAAAATGATGCTGAAATTCATATGGAAACACAAGAGACCCTGAATAGCTAAAGCAATCTTATACAACAGAAACAAAGCCAGAGGCATCACAATACCAGATTTCAAGACATACTACATGCAGCTCAATTCACAATAGCTAATATATGGAATCAACCCAAATGTCCATCAGCTGATGACTGGATAAAGAAATTGTGGGATATGTACACCATGGAATACTACACAACGATTAAAAAAAAATGAAATTCTGTTGTTTACAACAAAATGAGTGAAACTGAAAAACATCATACTTAGTGAAATAAGCCAGTCCCAAAAAGACAAATACCATATTTTCTCCCTGACCTGTGATAACCAATAGAGCACCTGAAAGGTAATCTATAGAAGTGAAATTGACATTCTGAGATACAGTGACTTTGAATAGCCCTTGTCTTAACTGTTGAAGAACAGTTTTTTTTCATGCAATTTCTTGAACTCTTAGTATAGAGTTAGTCATATGATTATAGTTAATTGAAAGTAGATCTTAGTAAAAAATAACAATGGGAATAGGAGAAAGAGGAGGAAAAGGGGTGGGAGGGTGGGTACTGTGCAAAGAATCAGTATATTTCTAAAGTTATGAATTGCATGAAGTGTATGGTCCTTAAATAAAAGGTTTCTGGAAAAAAATGTATACAAAGAGAGACAGGTATTAGTGGACAGAAGTGTCTACAGGCCTTTCGAAGATGGAAAAACAAGTGGTGCACTGTGGCCGATGATAGTGGACAGAGTGAGGCTGTGAACTTTCCTGCCCTGTTCCCTGAACATGCAGAGCCAGTTTGTATTGTTTCCAGGAGAGAGAGATTGGAGACTCTTTCTGGAAAAACCACATGGCCCTGGAGAAGTAGCCTCTAGATGATTCTGTCTGGAATTCTCCCAGTGCAGATGCCCACCTCCTGGCCTGCATTCCCTCAGTGACATGACACTCACATGATGACAGGTTGTCCCACCCACCAAGCTTCTAGCCAGGTTTTAGTGTTGGCCTCTGCAGTAGTTCACAAACAAGAGAGACCAAACTCTGAAGGAAATAGACAATGCCAAGATAGAAGAACATGTGAGAATGTAAAAGGATCCTCCAGAATCAGAGAAGAAAACTGCATCCAGTTAACATGACACGGTGCTATAAAAAAAGGAACAGTGAGAAAATAAAAACATGGAAATCCAAGCAATTACAGAAACTTTCAAAATCAGCAGTTGGTTTGAGATATAAAAGAGAAGCTAACTATCAAAGTAGAACCACAAAGGCAAAGAGATGGAAATAATTTTAAAAAACAAAAAAGATTTTTGACCAGTCCAAGGTCTGAAAGTGGGATTTCTAGAGAGAGATGGAAGGGGGCAGATGGTTCTCTGAAGGGTGAGCTGTGGCCATTGTCCCGCCTGCGGCCATGACTCTGCAAATTAGCGGTTAGTCTGCCATCACGGACAGAGGATGGCAGATGTGTGGCTGTGAGGCAGCTACACCCAGGGGTCTTGGAGATCGTGGAGGCTTCTAGAAGAAGAGGACCTGGTCCTCCCAGGACCAGCAGTCGGAATGATCTCGGATGTCTCCGCAAGAACAAGGGGTGTGGCCTTGAGCCCTCTGGTGAGAAGTGAGTCCCTTCCTCATTATGTCAGGGAGGGGAGAGGTGGACTGAAAACGCCTTCAGATGTTCAGAGCTCCACAGAATGTACATCCCCTGTTCTCCATCAGAGCGAAGGCTTAAGCCAAGAAGGGAACTCCCGGGATGGCAGTCGAATGCTGAATGCATAGAAACAGCCTGGATCGCAGTGGCTTCGGGGAGGAGGAGGTCACAGAGAAAGGGTGCTGAGGAGCCCAGCCTTGGGGAGATCCTGACATGGTTGGAAAGCCGGTGGAACATTTGGATTTTAGTGTCGGAGACGTAGGAAAAGGAGCAAATAGAAGTGTGTTTTTAAAAAGCCTTCCAAGTGAAGCTGATAGACGGACTGATTATTAGACAAATAGGGAGGAAGAGCCACACTGATGTCCCAGAGTGCTTGAAGCAGAGGTCAGTGTGCCACCTATGGGGAATACCATATTCAGTAGAGGCTAATCTGTAGTGGTTATTGGACTAAAGTGAACAATGACATGGAGTTTTTGTTGGTTTCCTGTACTTTATTGTGGTTTTGGGGTTTTGTGTTTCGTAGACTCTTCAAAGAAACAAGTACCCTGGACCCAGCCACACGGAATCCTACTCGTGGCCTCCCATAGCGCGTGGCTGCGATGTGGTGGTCATTTCTCACTGTGGAAATGACCCTTTGCTGTACCTCCCACCAGTTCTCACAATTTTGCAAACGGGGGGCTGCTACAAGTCGCTGCCAAGTAGAAACGGAGTAAGTTGAGATGGTTTGGTTTCCCAACAAAGCGGATTCAGTGTTTATTTTTAACTGTTGGTGATGGTCTAGTGACAACTTACTCAATTTGTTTTCACCGTTTTATAGATAAGAACATTAACTCATGAAAAGTTACTTGGGTAAATTCTTAACAGCTGACAAGAGGTAGAAGTAGAATATAAGTATCTACTGTTATACATTCTTTAAATTATTTCATAACAACCATATTGTTTTATAATCCTGCTTTGACCACATGAGGGGACCACATGAGGGGATCTGAAAATAACTGAGAAAGATGATGGGATGGAAAGGAATTGAGTATTAGAGTCGAATGATGGTGGGCAGAGACAGCTACCCTTACTGGGTTTTGTCTTATGGGTGAACTGATGGATCTGAAATCTGGCACAAAGGGTGCAGTACAAGTAGTTCTGCCACTCGTCGTCAGGTGACAAATAGTAGGCAGAAACATGCAGTAGTTTGTTGTTATGCTATGCAGTTTAATGATTGCCCTTTGGACATGTGCATCATTTTATATATATATTGATTTAATCAAATGAGTAATTAACCACTTTTTAATTTATTTGGAAGAGAGAGATATAAACAGAGATCTTCCATCTACTGGTTCATTCCCAAAATGCCTGCGATAGCCAGGACTGAGCCAGGCCAAAGCCAAGGGCCCAAAATTCAATCCAGATGTCCCATGTGGATGGCAGGAACCCAAGTTCCTGAAGCCATCACATGCTGCCTGCTAGAGTCTGCATTAGCAGGCACCGGAATCAGAAGTAGAACTGGGACTTGAACCCAGGCACTCTGATAATAGGATGTGGGCATCCCAAGTGGCATCTTAGGCACTGTGCGGTCACCACGGTCACCACGAATGCATGCGTGTCTATCCCCGAACTAGTGAACAGCTGAGCCGTGCTGGTGAGATGCCACTTAGGTTAAAGAGAAAGGGATGTCCAGATCTTCCTCCTCGTGCCCCCCCTGCTTTCTCCACACCTCTGTGGCTGCCCCGCTCTCAGCCCTTTGCCTGGAAGTTGCACTCACCTGGGTTCTGTCTTCGTCAGTGGAGAGCATGTGTCCGGGAGGGTGTTTGGCAGCAAGTGCCTGGGGGCTGGTGGACTGCCGAGGTCGGAAAGGGGGTCTCCTCAGGAAGAGGTGTCAGCCTTTGGGAAGGCCCTTCTCAGTGGTGCCTCCTCGCACTGCGGGGTCTGGGGCCAGACTACCGTGTACTAGCTGTGCAGCTTTGGGCAGCTGGCTTACCTCTCTGTGCCTCAGACCTGCCATCTGTGAGATGGAGTAACAGTAGACCCCCCCGTGAAGGAGTGTCCGGAGGACTCGGTGAGAACTTGTGAAGTACTAGGTTTAAGCCCTAGGGAAATCTCACTCAGTGTGTCTCAGTCTAATGAATTTTGCTGAACTCTTCAATGACGATGGTCGTAAAAACTTGTGAGAGGCTTATGCTGTGCAGGGAGATGTTCTGGATGTTTCCATACACTAAGTTGGATTCCTAACCAGTGTCCACAATTACTTGAATTTGCTTGTCTTTGCAGCCTCTTGCAGTCATCGTGTGCCCTGGGTGGAAAAAGGCCCAATTAACTTTTGAATTATTGGAAGACTATAGCAAGTCCTCGAGGCCTCTTCATCCCATGTTGTTAACAATCGGACTCCACAAAGACGAAGCCAAAAATCTGAAGCTGCCCAGGGGGTGTAAGCGTCCTTTCCGGGCTGTTGGGTTTTCCTGTGGAAGATGGTGGATCCCTGCCCAGCGGGCCGTGTGATGACGGGGCCCTCGCTCCCCATCAGTCACCAGTGGGTGACCTTGAGACAGCGGTGTGAATTCGTTCATTTGGCAGCTCTTTGTTGAGCATGTGGAGTGTGTTAGGTGCTGGATACGTGGTGTGGACTCCAGCCTTGCCTGCCTTTCAGGAGCACGAAGCCTGGTGGAGCCCAGGCACTGGACTGGATACTGGCAGGGACGAGCCTCAGTGGGCAGGGGCTGGCCGCACCCACCTGAGTAGACAAACCGCCTCTGTTAGAGAAATTGTGGAAAATCTGATTTTTTTTTTCTCTGAAAATGCAGGTGATGTGATTGTTACAACCCCACAGAGCCTGCTGCGGCTGCTCACGGACCAGAGCTTGCTGTTTCTCAGGCTCTGCCACCTGGTCCTGGATGAGGTGGAAGTGCTGTTCTCGGAAGCTAACGAGCAGGTAGGCCACGCGAAGGGTTGCAGTCCTGAGCGCTCTGCAGGGTCGGGGCGGTGTCCCGTGGGGAGCAAAGCGGCTAATCCAAGCCCCCTTCCCCTTGTGACTTCTGTGATGGAGAGAATGTGTATCTGGAATTTCTTTCCCACTGTTAAAGTTCTCACTGAGAAGCAGTTCTTTACCAGGAGATTTTTCTGAATATTTAGTATTTTTCTGATTATGGAAGCAGGAATTCTTAATTTAGAGAATTTGAGCAGAGACCAGGGAAAAGCCCCACATTCATAATCTCACATTCAGAGGAATTGCTTCAACTGTTTTGAAGTATTTTGTTTCTTAATTCCTGTTTTCGTTGATGCATATATTTTATATCAAGAACATATTTTAGGTACAGTTTTGTAACTTGCATTTTGCAGTTAACACTGTTGTATTGTTAGTTGCTATTCTGCAGCATGATTTTCATTGGCCGTATGGCACTGAGTCACATGCGTGTAACACAATTTACTCCAAAACTGTCTTAGTTTTGGACACTTAACCTAGTTTGTATATGTCTTTGGCTAAAGATCTTACTTTTTTCCTCTGGGGTTACTGCTGTACATTTGCCTGTGAAAGCACAGACCGAGGGACACTCCCCCTGTGTCACCGACCCTGCTCCCGCACTCCTGGGCCCAGCTTGCTTTGCAGTCTAATTAGTAAATAGTGAGATCTCCTTAGCTTGGTTTGTATTTCCCTGCGTTGAACATTGTGTCCATCCCTCTATGAATTGCATATTCATTTCTTTACCTTCTGTGGGTGGGATGATCTTTGTCACCAATTTTTAGAAGTTTCTGTATGGGCCGGCGCCGCGGCTCACTAGGCTAATCCTCCGCCTAGCGGCGCCGGCACATCGGGTTCTAGTCCCAGTAGGGGCGCTGGATTCTGTCCCGGTTGCCCCTCTTCCAGGCCAGCTCTCTGCTGTGGCCAGGGAGTGCAGTGGAGGATGGCCCAAGTGCTTGGGCCCTGCACCCCATGGGAGACGAGGAAAAGCACCTGGCTCCTGGCTCCTGCCATCGGATCAGCACGGTGCGCCGGCCGCAGCGCGCCGGCCGCGGCGGCCATTGGAGAGTGAACCGACGGCAAAGGAAGACCTTTCTCTCTGTCTCTCTCTCTCACTGTCCACTCTGCCTGTCAAAAAAAAAAAAAAAAAAAAAAAAAGGAGGTTTCTGTATGAACATCTAATCCTTTGTTACACGTATGTACCAAGACTTTGTTGGTGCTCCAGGTTTTTTTTAGAGTGGGGGTTTTTGGACGTTTATTGACTTGAAATTTAACATTTTCTCCATTTTATATTTTATGTTCTGTCAAACCAGCTTATTCTCTCTTAAAATGAAATGAATTATACTGATTTTTTAGATGCTTGCTATATTAGATAACTTTAAAAAAAATATTGACGTTGAAGAAAGAGAGTCTGCACCTCATCAGATCGTTGCAGTTGGAGTTCACTGGAACAAACATATAGCGCATTTAATCAGAGAGTTCCTGAACGACCCCTGTGTTGTGATCACGGCCATGGAAGAGGCTGCCCTCTACGGCAACGTCCAGCAGGTAGCGGCCATGGGGAAGGGGAGCAGGGCTGATGAACACAGCAAGCAGCTGCATTACATGGGCTGATATTAAACCATTACACTCTGATTTGATTTGATACACAAATTTGTGATTATGTATAAATTTGTATTGATTTCCTAGGTATTATTTCCTTTGAGAATCAGAACTTACTTACAGAAAGTGAAACTGGAGCGCCTTGAACTTTTAGAAGATGATACTATTGTATGCCATTACTAGGTTGTGCACCTTTGCCTGGAGAGTGGAAAAACTTCTACTTTACTCCAAGTTCTTGATTTCATTCCAAGCCAGACACAGAAGACCTTGATCTTCACCTGCTCCGTGGCTGAAGCAGACATGGTGTCTAAGGTGAGCCCTACCACACGTTAAAATGTCCCCGCTGTTTAAACTGTGGTTGAATCTCAGGTCGTCAGAAAATGACTAGGGGAGCTGAGTATGCAATGGGGGAAATCCGAGTCCACAAGTTTAACATCAGGCAGCAGGGGAGTGGGCTCTGCTCCCGGAAGCACTGGTGCCTGGAGGCCTGGCAGTGGGTCTGGCGCCCCAGGGGTGCAGCCAGCCTCGCACTGTAGCAGCGCTCCCCTGGGGAGCAGTGCTCACGCTTTGTCTGGAAGAGCAGGGAGAGGGTCCCACTTGTGAAGAAATGCCCACATTTTGTGTCCCCTTTCTTCAAGAAGATTGAGAAGATGACAGTTACTGTGTAGCTAGAAAGATCAGATGTTGGCTACAAGAACCAGATAAACTGACTTAGGATATATTCAGTTTGATCTGATTTTGTCTACATAAGTGCTCAAATATAGAAACAAAGCCAGATACAGGGAGTGAGTTACACATCTACCTTTCTACAGTGATGACCTAGAAGGTAGAATTCAAAAGCCCTTCTTGGGGCGGGGCTTGACCTTATTGGGATGCCCACATCCCATTTTGGTGTGCCTGGTTCGAGTCCTGGTTCTGGCCCTTGATTCCAACTTTCTGCTAAAGCACGCTGGGAGGCAGTGGTGCTGGCTCAAGGAGTTAGGTTCCTGATACCCACCTATCTGGATTGCATTCCTGGGCTCCTAGCTTTGGCCTGGCCCAGTCCTGGCCATTGTGGACGTCTGGGGAGTAAACCAGCAGATGGGAGCTCCTTCCGTCTCCATCTCTTAAAAAAAAAGTGCTTGTTAACAAAAATGCTGTGTATTTGATGTGCGTACACATATACATTCACACCCATACTTTGTATATTACATACATAAATATATACATGTCATTTAAAAGGGAATGAAAATATTTTATCAAAATAATATTTCAGCGGGTTTTTAGATATAGATAGATTACAAAATTGGGAAAATACATTTATTCAAAACTTAGTCATCTCATTAGTAAGAATGCCTAATCAGGGAGATAGTAGTTTCCTGGGTAATGTAAAGTGGCTTATGTTGATAATTATTTTTAAAAAAAATTATTTTTTATCTGAAAGGCAGAATTGCAGAGACAGAGGGAGAGACACAGAGAGAAGGAGCTTCCCTGTGCAGGTTCACTCCCCGAATGGCTGCAACAGCCAGGGCTGGGCCATACAGAAGCCAGGAGTCCAGAATCCCATCCAGATCTCCCAGCTGGGTGGCAGGGCCCCCAGTACTTGGGCTGTCTTCTGCTGTTTTCCCAAGTGCATTAACAGGGAGCTGGATCAGAAGTGGAGCAGCCAGGACTCAACCAGTGCCCATGTGGGATGCCGTATCACAGGTGTTGGTTTAACCACTACACTACAACTCCAGTCCTTATGTTGATCGTTCTTGATGGAACAAGTGGCTTCAAGCTTGTTCCTGACTGTGAACTGGCCTCTTTGGTTTCTCGTTTAGGTAGTAGAAAGCAATTCAATATTTTGCTTGAAAATGCACAAAGAAATGGTTTTTAACTTAAAAAGTGTTTTGGAACAGTGGAAAAAGAGGTTGAGTTCTGGCTCTCACATTGTCCTAGGTAAGTGTTTTAATTTCTAGTTAATAGGAATCCTGTCTTTAATTCATTTGTACTTATGTTTCTCATCTCCAGAGTTCTCATTCTTTCCCAGGTTGTCTGGGAGTTAGTAATGTTAATTTTAAGCTGGAGATTAACCTCCGCTATGATTTTCCTGTTGAGGTGAATCTAGGGCCCCCCACCCCCGGGCTCTCAGGTTGGTAACCGGCAGAAACCCTCAGTCTAGACTTTCTCCCTGGAATTGTGGCTGGCAGATCCCTGTTGGGTAGGTGGGTGGGTGAGTCGGCCTGTAGGCATCATTATCAGATACATGCCTGTGCCGAAATGTGTTGTGAATGATAGTTACGTTGAACATCAGAAATACGAAAGGCTAGATGCACGAAGTAAGTGAAAAGCATACAGGCAGCCTGCGCATTGGAGTAGAAAGAGGCACTGTTGAACTGGAAGGGAGGCCACTTCTCTCTAGAGTTCAATTACCACAGGCTGCGGCACTTTTGACAAAAACGGTGGGAAGGGAGTTTCTTTGCAAGTGTGAAGTAAAACGCACACGGCAGTGTCGTGTTGTGTGGTTTCTGGAGCGGCTCGTGCCCGGCTCACGTGCGGTTGTCGGAATCCTCTCCCCCAGCCTTGACGGACGATTGCATACCACTCTTGGCCATCACTGATGCCACATGTGTGATTCACTTCAGCTTCCCCTCCTCGCCAAAAGTTTTTGGTGGACGCCTGTATTGCATGTCTGATCATTTTCAGAATTTAACCGAACAGGTTTGCTTACTTTTTATTATCTTCAGGGTGTCACGGTGGTTTTCTATGTAATGACACGTTTCCCCATTTAGACTGGTGTGGGTGACCCCATTCCTGTGTTCACCCCGGTGTTAAGGGTTCTCCTGCAGAACAGGGAGACAGGAAGACCAAGTCTGTCTTGCTGCTGACGGAGAGAAACGCGAGCCATGCCATGGGCGTCCTGCGCTACTTGGAGCGAGCAGATGCCAAAGTCCCATCGGAGCTGTACGAGTTCACTGCAGGGGTTCTGGAAGCCAAAGAAGATAAGAAGGCCACAAGTCCGCTTTGTCCGTACCTTAAGGCTTTTGGATTTTGCAAGTAAGCCTGTGTTCTTGTTCTAAAAGGGAGGTAGCCCATGCCGTCAGGTGCACAGCTGCTGAGTTTACCGCTGGGCGCGTGCACCCTCCCAGCACTGAGGGGCACCAGAGGTGACTGCCCTCTCGGCAGCTGTCAGCCTGGAGTAATGTTGCTTGCTTTGAGCCCCATATAAAGGGACTTGTGGTAGGTGCTCTTTGTGTTTGGTCTCTTCCTCAACCCAGGGTCAGCAACACCTGTCTGTCGTTGTGGTTTCTGTATTTTACTGAGTGTAATTTGTGGCTGAGTGTTGCATTCTGTGACTCTGTCACAATGTGTGTGTGTCCCTCCTGCTGTTGCTGGTTTCTGGCTATTGTGTGTGAAAACTGCTACAAGCAGCCTTGTTCATGTCTTCGTGTTGAAATTTGCATCCATTTCTCTTTGTCTTTATTAAGGAGTGGAATTGCTAGGTCACAGGATGGGTGTCCAGCCACCTCCTCCTGGTGGTTAACCTATTGGGATCCTGAAGGCTGTAGAACACAGTTTGCGCTACCCGACCTTGGGTATAGTGGCAAACCACTATAGTGACTTTAACTGGATTTCCCTACAGTGAGGTCAGACATCTTTTCATATGCTTGTGGGACATTAGACTATCCTCTTTTTGTGAAATGCCTGTTCAGGTTATTGACTGTTTTTAAATTGGGGGCTTTTGAGGGCTGGCACTGTGGCATAGTGGGCTAAGCATCTGCCTGCAGTGCCGGCATCTCATATGGGTGCTGGTTCTAGTCCCAGCTGCTGCTTTTCCAATCCAGCTTTCTGCTGTGGCCTGAGAAAGCAGTAGAGGATGGCCCAAGTGCTTGAGCCCCTGTACCCACATAGGAGACCTAGAGGAGGCTCCTGGTTCTTGGCTTCAGAATGGCTCAGCTGTGGCCATTGAGCAGATGGAAGACCTCTCTCTGTGTCTCTCCCTTTCTCTCTGTAGCTCTGCCTCTCAAATAAATAAATATAATCATTAAAAGTAAATAAATGAGGGCATTTATCTTGTTCTTACTGATTTATGGGTGGTGACTATATATGCACATATATAGGTGTACGTATAAAACATGTATATAACATACACACACATATATACACATATACGCACACATACATGCATATACACACAGATGTGTGTATATATCTGGGACATGCATCGAGGATGTCTTCTCTCAGTCTGGCTGTAGTTTTTCACTCTTTTCAGTAGCCCTTTCATTAACAGACACTTGGTTTGGTGCAGCCTTTTAGGGTTGCTGTCTTGTATGTTTTTACATGAGAAATATTTGTCTATCTCTGGCCATAAAGACATTCTCCTATGTTTTCTTCCAGAAACTTTGTAGTTTTAGCTGTATCATCTAAGTCTGAGACCCACACTTGTCAATTTGTGTGTCTGGTGGGAAACAGGGCAGAGTTGCCATCTTGCACATGATGCTCCCTCACCATTTATTACGTGGGGCCAGCGTGTGGCGCAGCAGGGTACGCTGCCACCTTTGATGCCAGCATCCCACATCAGAGTGCTGATTTGAGTCCCAGCTCTTCTGCTTCTGATCCAGCTCCCTGCTAATGTGCCTGAAAAGGCAGTAGATGATGGCCCAAGTTTTGCCACCTACATGGGCAGCATAGATAGAGTGCCAGGCCTCTGACTTTGGCCTGGCCTAGACTTGGCTGTTGTGACTATTTGGGAAGTGAATCAGCAGATGAAAATTGATCCTCTCTCTCCTTCTGTCACTATGCCTTTCAAATAAATTAATCTTTTTTTAAAAGAGTATTCTAGAAAAGTAATCAAGTAATTCTTTATTATTCAGTGTTAAATTTTAGAAACCTTTCAATTATTTATATATTGTTGTGTTATATCAAGTATGAGTCGTGGTTACTTAACTTTTAAGGTGTTTGGAAGAAAAATTCTCTGATGATGGTAGATTAATTTTCTAAAGAACACTTACAAATTTGTGGCAACAATTGTTAGTGGTGTTTTTCTGGTTATAAAAATTTAGTGTTCTCTTTTTTCTCAGAGACCAAAGGATCTGTCCTGACCGACACCACATTAACCCAGAAATGGACATGCCCAGGAAATTATCCAACCAAGCCCTGCCCGTGTCTGGATACATTAAAGTAAGTTCTGGTAAAGATCCTTTTTCCCGCTGAGTAATGCCATCTCCGTGAAGGTGCTCCTGAGGACCAGAATCTTCCAGAACGCAGTTAGGACTGGGTAGTCAGTGCTAGGGGACAACTGCTTATCTGACAAGTGGCCTGGCTCCCTACATGCAGCCTCCTTCCAGGGCCCCAGTTTATTGGTAAAAGCAAGGTCAAATTAGCCAAATGGAGGAAAATTTAGGGATTGGATTTTTCAGTTATATTTTTAAAATATTGTTTCCATTTGGGGCTATTAAAAATAATGCATTGATTACATGAATCTTTTCAAAACATCCAAGATTATTCCTTTGAGGAAAATTCTTGAGATGCAAATAGAATGGCTGAGTTAAAGAGTTCATTTTCTTTGAATTCTAGATGTCTTCATTTCTTTTTGCGTTAAAATATTTCCTCTCAGCCGGCGCCGTGGCTCAATAGGCTAATCCTCCACCTTGCGGCGCCGGCACACCGGGTTCTAGTCCCGGTCGGGGCGCCGGATTCTGTCCCGGTTGCCCCTCTTCCAGGCCAGCTCTCTGCTGTGGCCAGGGAGTGCAGTGGAGGATGGCCCAGGTGCTTGGGCCCTGCACCCCATGGGAGACCAGGAAAAGCACCTGGCTCCTGGCTCCTGCCATCGGATCAGCGCGGTGTGCCGGCTGCAGCGGCGGCCATTGGAGGGTGAACCAACGGCAAAGGAAGACCTTTCTCTCTGTCTCTCTCACTGTCCACTCTGCCTGTCAAAAAAAAAAAAAAAAAAAAAATTTCCTCCCGTTCACCTCTTTCCATAAGACACTGTCTGTTGTGTTAGTGTCTTAGGGCTGCTGTAGCAAGTTACCACAGCAGTAGTGACCTAGAACAGCCCCCATTGACTTCCTCATGGTTTTGGAGGCCGGAGGTCCAGGATCAAGGTGTTGGCAGGGCCGTGCTCCCTCCACAGCCAGAAGACAGCCTGTGCTGTCTCTCCAGCTTCTCTTGACCCGGCCATTCCTTGGTGTGTCTTGCTCGGAGCCACACCACCCCCATCCCTGCCGCAGCCTCCTTACCGCCCTCCCCCTTTTTTCTGTGTCCCCTGGAGAAGGCCCACCCCTGACCCGGCCTATTCACGACATCTCCTCATCTGCAGAGCCCCTGTGAATGCTAGGACACAGACGCACCTACGTGTGGGGCTGTTTTGCAAACTATTATGGTTTTCATTATCGAAATAATTTTTTCTTTAATTCCTCATTCTTTCCTGAGTTCTGTCACTCATTTCTAAGCTTTTCTAATTCTGATTTATGTTATTCTTTTATATAATAATATTTTTAAGCTAAACTGAGCATGTCTAGAAATTGCAGATTACAGTTTTAGTCTCTTGTGTATCCATCTTGCTAATGGCTTTCATTGTAGAGGCTGTTCTGCCTCTAACTGTCTTTTTAACTATTTTATTAAATATTTTATTGCTTCTTATTTTATTATTACTTAATGTGAGATTTGACTCTTACTGTGATTTGAGTGTTGAGTGTCCCCGAGTTCTTGTGTTAAAGGTTTGGTCCCCAGCATCTCATGTTAGTGGTGCTGAGAAGGCGGAAACTTCACCCAGTTGTGAGGGTTGAAGGGTTGGCCTTCAGGAGGTGATTGTTTTTAATGGGCTGTTAGGGTGTTAGGATTGAATCACAGGGAGACAGGGGCACCTGTACTCCCTCTCACTGAGTGACGTGCTGCACCTCCTTGGGACCCTCCCAGCGACAGTGCCCTCACCAGATGCCCGGCTGATGGGGTGTGGATTGATGGAGCTGTGGATTTCGACTTGAACCTCCAAGTCTGTGATCCAGAATAATCCTCTCTTTCCTTCATAGACAGTTTGTTCCAGGTATTTTGTTACAGTGACAAAAAGCCGATTCATGTAGCCTCAATTCTTTGTCTTGCTCACTTTTATGTAAATTCCAGTTTCTGAAAATTTTAGGAGGTGTGGGTCAGGGTAATTTTTCTAATTTGATAGAGTTCCCATTTCTGTTGTTGTGTTCTGTATGTTTGTGTGTGTGTGTGTGTGTGTGTGTGTGTGTGTGTATATATATATATATAGTATGTGTATGTTGATAAAGTGTATGAGGTTTGGAAACATCCCGGCCGTCTCCCTTCCCACTTCGGTCTGGCCATTCTCTTGCCCTTGGAGGGTCAGTCTGGGTGTGTCATAGCGGCGGCAGCCTGCCCTGCTGCAGAGCAGGTGAGGGCCTTCCCAGTGTAGCTGCTGTTGTCCCGCAGGCCACAGCATCTTCCCAGGCACCTGCCGCCTCCCCCACAGTTCTCCATTCCCGAACCCATTGGACGCTCTGCCGCTTGCCACCCAGACACGGGCACCAGGCAGCTTTGGTGGATGTGGGTGGCTTTTGCTCTACTTTTAATTGTTTTTTCATTGTTTTTTAAATTAATAGATACTAGTTTTTGGAGCAGTTTTAAATTTACAGAAAAGATGGGATTCCATAAGCCTCCCCCCCACCCCCAGTTTCCTCTGTTACTAGCATTTTGGGTTGGTGTACCACATTTGTGACAACCAATGAACCAGTATTGCTGCATTTTTATTAACTGAAGTCCGTGGTCTCCGTGCCGGCTCCCTGTTGCTGGTGTAGAGTTGTGACAGGCGTGTGGTAGTGCCTGTCCCCCACTGCGACGTCAGCATTGGAGTCCTTTCATTGCCTCAAGCCCCCTGCGCTCCGCCTGCACGTCCCCCTCCTGCCCCCACACTTAGGACAGCCATTCTGCTTTCCCAGAATGTCGTCTATTTAGGGTCTTTATCAGATTGCCGGCTCTCGTATAGTCATTAATGCACGCCCGCAGGGGCCAGGCGTGTGGTACAGTGAGTTCAGCCACCACCTGCCATGCTGTCATCGCGAATCAGAGCACCACTTTGAGTCCTGGCTGCTCCACTTCTGATCCAAATCCCCACTAATGCACTTGAGAAGGCAGCAGCGGACGGGCCTCTGCCACCTGTGTGGGAGACCTGATGGAGCTCCGCCTGGCCTTGGCTGTTTGTGGCGAATGGAAGATCTCTGTCACTGTGCCTTTCAAAAAACAAAAATGAATCTTAAAAAAAATACACATCTAGATCTCTGTAACTCTACCTTTTAAATAAAAATAAACAAATCTTGAAGAAAATCATACACATCTGTATTTCCTCCAGCTCTTCCCATGGCATGAGGCTTCATTCCTTTTCCGAGCTGAATAGTAGCTGGTGTCAGTGTCACAGTTGGCGCGTCCGTTCACCTGCTGCGTCTGGGCTTTGGCTCTGACTGAAGGTGCTGCAGACACCCATGTGAGCTGTTTGGAGTGTGCTTGCTGGATCAAGGGTGCACGGTGTTTAGTTTTACAAGACACTGCCAACTGCTTTCCAGCACAGCTGTGTCAGTTTACATTCCCGTGAGCAGTGAATGGGCCTTCCTGTTGCTCACTTCCTCACCGGCGTTTGGCATAGTCAGTGTGTTGGATTTCAGCTATTCTGTCAGCTTGTAGTATTTTTAATTTCCAGTATCCTCATGACACACCATGCTGAACATTCCTTCTTTGTTAAAACATGTATTTATTTATTTGAAAGGTGGGAGGGTAGTAGATAAAAATATACAGAAAGAGAGTGAGCTCCCATCCGTTGTTTCTCTCCCTAAATGCCCTCAGCAGGGGACCAGGATCACTAGCCAGGTCTCCTGTGTGTGTGGCAGGGACCTTGTCACTTACCCTGTCACTGCCTCGTCCCAGGATCTGGGTTAATAGGAGGCTGGAACCAGGCTGAGCCCAGGAGCCCCAGCTGTGGGATGCAGGCATCCTAGCCTCCAGGCCAACTGTCGCCCTGAACAGGCTTTCATTCAAAAGTATGCCATCAGTATGGAGTCTTGGGTAAAGCGTCCATTCAGATGGTTTTAGTTGGTTGGTTTATTTTCCTATTATTGAGTGTTAAGCGTTCTTTGTATATTTTAGATACAACTTGATCAGTTAAGCATTTTGCAGAAGTTTTCTCTCAGTCTTGGTCTGATCTTTTCATTCACTTTATGATAGTGTGTCTTTTGCAGAGCAGAAGTTTCTGTTTTTAATGCAGTCAGCTCACTGATTTTTTCTTTCAGGATGGTGCTTTTGATGTCCTATCTTAAAAAGCCATCCCCGGGACTGGCACTGTGGCGCTGCAGGTTAATCCTCTGCCTGCGCCACTGGCATCCCATATGGGCGCCAGTTCTAGTCCCGGCTGCTCCTCTTCCAATCCAGCTCTCTGCTGTGGCCTGGGAAAGCAGTAGAAGATGGCCCAAGTCCTTGGGCCCCCGCACCCGCATGGGAGACTGGGAAGAAGCTCCTGGCTCCTGGCTTCGGATCAGCACAGCTCCGACCGTTGCGGCCATTGGCAGTGAACCAGCGGATGGAAAACCTTTCTCTCTGTCTCTCCATCTCATTCCTATGCCTGCAGCGCCAGCACCCCGGGTTCTAGTCCCAGTTGGGTGCCAGTTCTGTACTGATTGCTCCCCTTCCAGGCCAGCTCTCTGCTGTGGCTTTGGAGGGCAGTGGAGGATGGCCCAAGTGCTTGGGCGCTGTGCCTGCATGAGAGACTGGGGAGAAGCACCTGGCTCCTGGCTTCGGATCAGCGCAGCGCACCAGCCGTGGCAGCCCTTTGGGGAGTGAACCAATGGAAGGAACACCTTTCTCTGTCTCTGTCTGTCTCTCTAACTCTGTCAAAAAAAATTTTTTTTCATCTATTTAAGAGCAGCTTCCATCTACTGGTTTGCTCCTCAGCTGCCCACAGGAGCCAGGAACTCAATCCAGGTCTCCCATGTGGATGGCAGGGACTTAACTACTTGAGCCGTCACCTGCTGCCTGCGGGGAGTTAGAATCGGGAGAGAGCGGAGACTCAGGCCCAGGCACTCTGACCTGGGATGCGGGTGTTCTGACGGGCGGCCTGACCACTAAGCCGAATGCCCACCCCAGTTCCTCAGTGTGAAGCTCTAGAGATTCCTCCGTGGTGTCCTTTCCTTGTTGAGTAGGAGTCCTTTACATGGACGTACCATGTCTGTGTGTTCACAGGTTGCTGCATGTGGGTCATTTCCAGTTTGAAGCTGCTTGGGAACAGTTGTGTTGCTAGTCTTTTGGAGGTATCTTTCCATTTCCATTGAGACCTAGAAGTAGAATTGTTGAGCCATAGACGTGTGTGTTTATAAGAAACTGCCAAACGTTCTTCTAGAGTCGTTGTGCCATCTTGCATTCTCACCAGCGTTACCTGTGAGAACTCTGGTTCTGCCATCGGCACTTGACCGTCTTCCGTCTCAGCCGTTCTGTGGAGTCTGCCGCTATCGCTTGTTTGCATTTCCCTGGCCATGAAGCTTCATGAGCATCTTTGCTCTTCTTCCTGGCCATTTTTTTTTTTAAAAGATTTATTTATTTGAAAGCTAAAAGGAGAGACAGAGGGAGCTAGCTTGCTTCCCTCTGCTGGTTCACTCTCCAAATGCCACAATGGCCTGACCTAGCCAGGCTGAAGCCAGGAGCCAGGAGCTTCCTCCGGATCTCCCATGTGGGATGCAGGGCCCCAAGCACTCGGGCCATCCTCCACTGCCTTCCCAGATCATTAGCAGGGAGCTGAATAGGAAGTGGGGCAAAACTGGGACACAAACCAGCACCCACATGGGACGCCAGCATCACGGGCAGTGGGTTAACCCACTGCACCATAATGCCAGCCCCCACTGGCCATTTACATCTCCTTTATCAACTCTGCTCAGATTTTGTGCCTTTTTTATTTGAGATTTCTACTTAATTAGTTTTTAAACAATTCTCGATATATTTTGGGATGCCCTTTTATTTCTTTTTCCCGTATGGGATGCCAGCATTAAGGCGGCGGCTTTACCCACTATGCCACAGTACCGGCCCCCTGATTCATCTTTATTTTTTTTTTTAAAGATTTATTCATTTATTTTAAAGTTAGAGTTACACAGAGAGAGAAGGAGAGGCAGAGAGAGAGAGAGGTCTTCCATCTGCTCGTCCACTCCCCAGATGGCCACAATGGCCAGAGCTGCACCGATCTGGAGCCAGGAGTCAGGAGCTTCCTCTGTGTCTCCCACACGGGTACAGGGACCCAAGGAGTTGGGCCATTCTCCGCTGATTTCCCAGGCCACAGCAGAGAGTTGGATAGGAAGTGGAGCAGCTGGGACTCGAACTGGCGCGCCCATATGGGATGCCCTTTTGTCATCACATACTTGTAGCTGAAGCCAGGAGCCAGGAACTCAAGCCAGATCTCCCACATGGGTGCAGGGACCCAATTCCCTGAGCCATCACCACTGCCTCCCAAGATCTGCATTAGCAGGAAACGAGCCAGGAGCCAGAGATGCAGGCGTCAGATGTGGACATCTGACTGGCTCCTTAACCAGGGTGCCAGGTGTCCACGCCTGTTACTGTTGCTGTTTTTAAGTTTATTTTCTAATTGCTTTTAAAAATATCGTTGGTTTTTGTCTCCTTCCCCTTCGTCCTGTCCCCGTAAGAACAGTTAGCTGTCTGCAAGGGTCCGAGGGAGAGTGGCAGCAGGCCAGTAGCGAGGACGACTGAGGAGTCTCCCGGGTGCCGGAGTGGGGGGCCCCAGGCTGCAGGGCGAGCTGGTCACCCTGTGGGGGGGGGCCAGTGCTCCCCTCTGTGAAGAGCATCCAGCCCACAGGCTGCTGTGGGCCCCGCCCTCCCGCTGGTGACCTCTATGCCCAGGCGTGCTGATCCCCACGAGAGACTGCTAGACCTGCCGCCGGGTGCGGGCCTGCATTCCGTTGTTTGCTGAGCTTGCAAGGCCCCCAGGCCCAGCACACAGAGTCTTACAAGTGCAGTGTGAGGGCGGGGAGCGCGCCCTTTATACCCATTCTCCTGAAACTGCCACCACTGGCGCCTCAGTATGTTTTCTCTGCGTCTTTTTATAGTCCGCTACTGCCGTGTGTAATCATACTACGCCCAGTTCACGTCTCATGACGTGGTAGTGCGTGTTTTCCTCAGGCCATGTCTGCCTTCACCAGGTGGGCACGCAGATGGGGGCCCTCTCCACAGGGGGAGCCTGCCTTTCCCAGCCCCCCTGGGCCAGGGCCGTGTGTGAGCAGGAAGGAGAACGGCGCACACTGCCTGAGGAGGACGCAGGAGGCTCCGGGTTTGTTAGGGCCCTTCCCCGAGCTGCCTGCCAGACACGGTTCCTGTGCCTTGGGGCGGGCGTTCTGTGGAGGTGGTCAGCAGGGAGCGTCAGTGAGGAAGGTGACTGTGCAGAGCTGAGAGGCGGTGAAGTACCAGCGGGTGTCTTGGTGTGAGTGTGCCGGGGCAGAGGGCCCTTGGCAGTGGCAGGCAGGGGGGACCGTCTGCAGAGGCGGTGACTAGCACTCGGGCCTGAGTAACAAGGACCCAGCAATGGGAGGATCTGGGGAAGAATAGCCCAGGCACAGGAGTCAGCCAGTGCGAAGGGCAGCACAAGGCGATGCGAGTGGGGAAATGGCAGGTGATAAAGTTAGAAGGGGCCACAGAAGAGGCTGTGGGCTGTCAGCCCTGGGAGTCCCCACCCTCCTTTTGATCCCTGCCTGCCTCCCCGGCCTTACTCCCAGTCAGCACTGGCCTCTCTGCCATCCTAACAAGTAACTCCTCCTCACTGCTGCCTGCCAGGCAGACGGGGCGCCCTGCCTTAATGCAAACGAAGTCCCTCTGTCTGGAACGCCCTCCCCACACTCTGGCAGGTGTACCGGTGCCTCCCCGCCTTCCCCCTCGCACACCAGCAGCCCTGCTGTCTTAACCGTGCCATGGCTGTGGCCTCTGTCCACGCCCTGTCACTGCAGGCCCCTGGGGCTGGTTTGCAGAAGGCTTTTTTTTTTTTTTTTTTTTTTTTTGACAGGCAGAGTGGACAGTGAGAGAGAGAGACAGAGAGAAAGGTCTTCCTTTGCCATTGGTTCACCCTCCAATGGCCGCCGCTGCAGCCGGCACACCGCGCTGATCCGATGGCAGGAGCCAGGTGCTTTTCCTGGTCTCCCATGGGGTGCAGGGCCCAAGCACCTGGGCCATCCTCCACTGCACTCCCTGGCCACAGCAGAGAGCTGGCCTGGAAGAGGGGCAACCGGGACAGAATCCGGCGCCCCGACCGGGACTAGAACCCGGTGTGCCGGCGCCGCAAGGCGGAGGATTAGCCTAGTGAGCCGCGGCGCCGGCCTGCAGAAGGCTTTTATTAAAGCACTTGTGCTTGTTTACATGGAATCAAGTAGAAGTGGCTGAGACACCAGTGCTGTTCCCAGGAGAACTGTTACAGAAGTGCAGTTGGGAAGTAGACAGTGGAATGCTTCTATTTAAATGGAGCCTTTAAAATAATGGAATTTCTGAGCCGGCGCCGTGGCTCAATAGGCTAATCCTCCACCTTGCGGCGCCGGCACACCGGGTTCTAGTCCCGGTTAGGGTGCCGGATTCTGTCCCGGTTGCCCCTCTTCCAGGCCAGCCCTCTGCTATGGCCAGGGAGTGCAGTGGAGGATGGCCCAGGTGCTTGGGCCCTGCACCCCATGGGAGACCAGGAAAAGCACCTGGCTCCTGGCTCCTGCCATCGGATCAGCGCGGTGTGCCGGCTGCAGCGGCGGCCATTGGAGGGTGAACCAACGGCAAAGGAAGACCTTTCTCTCTGTCTCTCTCTCTCACTGTCCACTCTGCCTGTCAAAAAAAAAAAAAAAAAAAAAAAAAAAAAAAAATGGAATTTCTGGCTGGCATTGTGGTGCAGTGTGTTAAGCCACCGCTTGTGACACCCGCATCTCATATCAGAGCACTAATGTGAGTCCCCGCTAATGCACCTCGCAAAGCAGCGGAAGATGGGCCGCGTTCTTGGGCCCCTGCTGCGCGTGTGGGAGACCCAGAAGAAGCTATGGATCCTGGCTTTGGCCTGGCCCAGCCCTGGTTGTTGTGACCATTTGGGGAGTGAACCAGTGGATGGAAGAGCTCTCTCTCTCTGTAATTCTGCCTTTCAAATACATAAGATAAAATAAATCTTAACAAAAGTGAATATTTTTTAAAAATTAGGGAATTTGGAAAAAATCTTAAAGTGAAATTATTTGTAAATATGATGAGAAATTTGCCTGCGTCCTAGTTTGAGTTATTTATTTATTTGTATATTTATTTTAGTTAGCTAGCTAGCAGAGTTACAGAGAGAGACAGATCTTCTAGCGGCCAGTTCAGCCCCGGATGGCCACAACAACTGGGGCTGGGCTGAGTCGAAGCCAGGAGCTTTTTCTGGGTCTCCCACTTGGTGCAGGGGCCCAAGCACTTCTGCTGCTTTCCCAGGCCATTAGCAGAGAAAATGAGCGAGGTTGGAAGGAGAGCAGCCCGAGCTCGATGGGGTGCTGCAGGCAGTGGCCTACCCCGCTGGGCCACGACGCCGGCCCCTCACAGTTAACTTTCAGTCCCCGTTTGCTTGCATCGAGGTCTCAGGTCAGGTGTTGCTTTCTGCAAACACAGGGAGTGTGTGTGTTTTTATTTAAATTTTGTTTTCTGGATTTGTTTACTGTATGTGTTTCAGGTAATACCATTTTATGTTTCAAATGCAACAAATTACTTTGGCCGTATAATTGACAAATATTTGGATCTTTTTGCAACTCTTAATGCCGAAATGAATGAATATTTTAAGGATTCCAGTAATAAAACAGCTGTTGAAAAGGTGGAGAAATGTGGATTGTATGGATTAGCAGAAAAAACACTTTTCCACAGGTAAGATAGCTGTGCATTCCCTTCCTGAAGCTGCGAAGCATGAAGTGGTCTGTACTTTGCGTGCTGTGGAATCCCTCTTTTCCCCTCTGGCAGAGAGGCCGCCCCCGGGGAGGTGGCGCTGGTGCAGTGCCTCCCCCGATGCCCGGTACAGTTCTCCATGGGAGACTGTCCCCTGTGCAACCTCAGGTGGTTACGAAGCTGTCACCATGTGTGACATACCGTGCAGCTCCCTATCCCGTGTCTGTCAGATGGTACCATGCCCATTTCCCAGAGAAGCACACTGAGCCCTGGCGGCCCCGCCTCATTGTTCCAGCGGCAGCTCGGTGGCCGGTGCTCTGCCCAGCTGCCTGTTGCCTTCATTCGCTGAATCACCCCCGCGGCTGCCGGTCGCTGGCCTGGGGGCAGAAGTGACCGACGCCGCGTCCACTGGCTGTGTTTGTGTTATGTTGGGAGTCACCTGTGAGAAGTGCTCCGTGCTTGAATGCCGGGTTACTCTGAATGACCCTCCACTGGAAAGCCCTCGTGTTTTAGTTCCAGTGTAGGGTAGAACTGCAACGTAGGAGTCTTTTTAGGTTCTGCGTTTAACGGGCAAGCGGAGGCCACATTTCTGTGTGTCTGGAATTTCTGCCGCTGCTGCTCTCCAGGGTTCAGGTGTTGGAGATGAGCCAGAAAGAAGACACTTGTGTCCTGAACAGCGTCCTGGTGAGGTTTGTCGACGAAGGCAGAACTGGACTCGTCCCCAGAGAGCAGCTGTGGCGCCTCCCGGAGCAGTTCTGCACGCTGCCGCCGCAGGCTGTGGAGTTCGTGGTTTGTAGAGTGAAGCCAGCAGATAACGAAGTGGAGTGGAATCCGAAGGTGAGCGGCCTCGGCTGCTGAGACCTCTTTAGCCCAGAGTACACACAACGGAGGCCCCGTGGATTTGGGTGTTGATGCTGGCGATGGGCGTGCCTGGAGACGCCCAGCGACTCACGTGACGGCCGGGGGACAAGGAAGGAGAGGTGGTGGCCAGAGACGCTTCTGAAGGGGGTGGTGTTTCCTTTGGGCCCTGTGGGTTGCTAGGATGTCACCCAGTAGAATGGGTGGGGCACTGCCAGCCAAGAAGTCTCCCCATGCCAGGGCATGGAGCACAGAAGAGTGGCCCTGCGTGGCCCCGTGTGTCCGTCCACGGTGGGGTGGAGAGAGGCTAGGCACAGCCCCGCTCAGCACCTGAGCAGCCAGGTGCTCTCGTAACGATGCCCCTGACACTCGGTGTGGGCCGGGATCAGGGATTCCGGTCTCAGACTACCAGTCGGTTGCCCTGAGTCAGCTGCACCACCAGCCTGGGTTTGGCTGTGGTTGACCGTTTCCTTACAGGGTGGGTGCGTGCTTTGAGCCACTCTTAAACAGTACAGACTTAGGTGCGGTTGCCAACCACGTTGAAAGTGGGAAAGTATTGGAGAGCAGATGACAGACTTGACGACTGATTAAGGAGTGACCCCCGACCCCAGCCCCGCGGCGGGGGGGGGGGGGGGCAGACAGTGTAATCACTCTCCTAGACGGTGGCCCAGTGCTTAGTAAAGTTTACTCCTTGCTGTCCAGAAGTCTCCTGCTCACGGCTCAGCTTTTCTAAAGGGCATGTCTTCTAGGAACAGCTGGGCGGCAGTCTTCGCGGCTCGGGCCGTGTCCCAGCTGACTTTAGTCCCTGGACTCCTCATTCCACTCTTACTCCCACAAAGGGAAGGTTACATTCTGCAGTCTGATTAATGGGATCTGGAGTAAGCCATTAGAATTGGCGAAATAAAAAGCTTGCGTTATAAGTAAGGTTAAACGCTGCCTGGGAAATACGCGAGGGAGTGTTTCCACAGCGCAGGAGGAATACACAGCCCCAGCGCTTGAGCTCAGTGACGTCAGTGTTTATCAGACAGCAGTCTTCTCCCTTGCTTCTAATAAGCATTTACCGAGTGTGCACCGGGAGCCACTGCCGTGCGGGTCCGAGGGAGGCAGCTGTCAGCGAGGGGTCATGGTTCTCGTCCCCAGAACAGCAGGCGTGGGCAGCCTTGTGCAGACGTGGGGAGAGTTCCCTCTGGGTGTTTGTGCAGTCCATTCACAGAGCTCACGAGGGATGAGACTAGCACGGATGGGCCAGCTCCCTCCTGTTCTGCTTCATAGAAGTGACATACGCAGGACAGGTGAGCCCCGACTCGAGAGGAGCACGCACACAGGAGACCTGGGTCCTCGGCCGTGGTCACCGCCCGTGGCGGCCTCTGGAGCAGACACCGCCTTCCCTGCCCTTCCTTCCCCCTCGCTGAGCTCTCACAGACACATTGACAGCTGGTAGAAGGCATGGGCCGGGGGGCACACACAAGACTGGTCGTCCAAGGGCACGGGCCTTGTCTGTTCTCGGGGCCACGGGCAGCCTCCTGCACTCGTGTGACTCTGTTCTTGTGAACCTCTGCTGTCTGCCTCACGGAAAGGAGGCTGATGGCCTTGTGAGCCCAGAGGTTGTCAGGCTCCAGTGACGCGTTTGCGAAGTGTGCAGTACACACAGAACACGGTGCTCAACCTCGGGTAAACAACGTCACGTGCTTTTTTTTTTTTTTTTTTCAGGTTACTAGGTACATTCATAATAAAATTGTTGGAAAGCTGCATGATGCAAAAGTGATGCTGGCCCTGGGAAATACAGTTTGGGTTGACCCAATGGTAAGTACGCCGCTTTCTTATAAAGAAGATTCTCAGCGGACCCCTACAATTACCCACTAGTCCCACCTGTTGCTTGAATAACGGAGGTGCTTCTTGTGCTCTGTGGGTCAGGAGTTTCGCTGGAGGTTTGGTTTCTGGGTAGGGAGTATTCGATGTGACCCAGCGTGCACCTGTGTTTATGTGTGGTGCCCATACACTCAGACACAGCTGAGCGGAGCTGGATGAAACCGTCCTCGCTGATGTCACTTTCTCTAATATTTGCAGTCTCATCTTTTCAAGTGTGGATCATGAACCATTCAGCTGATGGCATAGGGCACTGTCCACACGCTGTGAGGCCCTGGTCAGGGACGGGGGGGGGGGGCTGTTGCTGGTCTTCCCTGGCTTGCAAATGGCCCTGGGGGCCTGAGTTGTGCCAAGGAGTCTGGTCCTGGGGCCTACAGAGGTGGGTTTACCGTGTGTTACTTCCCCCGTGTTCAGGCAGCAGATCCTGTGTTGAGAATCTCCTGTGCACTGGGACCCATACTGGATGCTTGGGTTCCTCCTGAGCAAAGCCCATGGGGCCTCCTGCCCTGCCCAGCTGGGGTGGGGGAGGGAGTGGCAGACAAGGAGCCAGCCTCCCAGGGCCTCTTTGCCCTTCTGCTGCTGCTGGTGCTGGTGCCGTCCTGGGTCTGCATGCTCCCCAGGAGCTCCAGTTTTCAATGTGAAGTTTCACTCTATAAGACCCAAGTCTTAATTAGGATGATTATTTCTAAGTTTGAAAGGAATTCTAATTCTGTTTCTAGAAACTGTTTAGCTGACAGTTACTTTTATAAGATTTGGAGAATTTTAACACATTAGAAGGGGAGTTTGGGCATAAGAATTAAGGGCTCACTTGGGAAGGTGCCCAGCGCCCCTCATCCCCCACAGGAGGGGCACACGGGCATGAGACTTGCAGATTTTCATATTTTGCTTAATTCTCTGTAAGCTGAAATGGATTCGAATGTGCTGATTGCAGAAGAGACAGTGGGGGAAGCAATCCAGACACGGGAGTGCTGTGGTGTGGGTCCTTTCTGGACACAGGGGGACTCGGGGCCTTAGTGGCCTGCTTGTAAACAGAGGCAGAATCAGGAAAACAGTTTCCTGCCTGGCTGGGGACTTTACTCCGGGACTGGATCTCGGGCCGATCCCACACCTGACCGTATTTCAGGCGGGCCTGGGCTTTGGAAGAGTCTCGGCTGCCCTGGCTATGCCCCAGTCCACACTGTGCGCAGGGAGCCCTTGCCCCTGTGGAAGCGGCCGGAGCGCACCAGCGCTGCAGGGACAGGCCGAGAGGCCCGGGGAGAGTTCGTGACTCGGTTAGGATTCAAAGTGTGACTCTGCAGATGTTCTGTTTTCTCTCGATTCAAGGTGCATGTTACAAAACTTTCAAATTTGAAAACATCTGTCATTGATTATAATGTTCGAGCTGAAATTTTGTCAATGGGAATGGGCGTTGATAATTCAGGACATGTGGAACGACTGAAAAAATTATACAAAGAAGCTAAAATGCCAGCTTTTGAAGAACATCTAACCCAGACCCCGTAAGTTGATTTCTGTGTCCTTTGTTGGAGCTGTTTTGTAGAAATACAACTCGCAGCGTTGAGGGCTTTTGTTATGAAAGGAGTAATTTGCATCCGCGTGTTCCCATCTAACTTTCCTAATTACTGAGGTCTGAGCAGTCTTGTCCCATTGGTTCCCCGCACTCACACTCTTGCTTTTGGAGGGGGATCATGAAATCACCGTGTCCCCTACAGAAAGGAATTTTGTTACCTTTTTTGATTGTTGAGAAGTAGTGCTGTGCACGCACACCCGGCTGCCGTGTGATGGGCTTCTGAGCGCAGCCAAGGGAGCCAGCCCGGGACCAAGGGGACAGCGTGGCTCGGGCCGCGCCCCTCCCCCGAGGAGCCCGTCTCCTGACGCGGAAAGGCAGAGGTGGGTTATCCTGAACGTTGCCCTTGGAGCAGATCATGCAGCGTGTTTGCCTTGTGCCTCCGCATCGGTTGTGATCCTGGCTCTCCTGTGCGCGCGGTAGTGTGGGGCTCAGCTCCCGTGTGGGGACACCGTCACTGCTGTGCCCACTGTGCTTTCGAGAGTCCCTGGGCTACCACGGAGCAGTTAGCATTCTGCTGCGTGTCTTTGGGTGCACTTCCTGGTCCATTTTTCATAGATTAGAATTGGCGCTGCAGCCCACCAGCTGTTACAGGGGCTGTGCAGTTTATGTCCCTGTATGGAGTGTTTCGAGACTGAGAAAGTACTCTGCAGCCCCCAGAGGGAAGGCGGACGACGGACACAGCCCGTGTCTGCCAGAGGATTTGGGGCAGGAGCTCCTGCTGGTCGGGACCCCCCAGGGGGGAGGGCCCGCTCACAGCCCCCAGCTGATGTGTGAGCAGTTGCTCACCCTGCTTGGGGAAATGCAGAGTGAAGCCCCAGTGAGCAGTGCTGCCATGGACCCAGCAGAAGGGTGAAACGAGGGGAAGAAAACACGAAGTGCTGGGGATCTAGAACAACAGGGCTTTCCACATTTGACTAGACTGCTGGTCTCCCATCTCAGAAAATTAACAGTAATGTCTGAAAGTATGTGGTTTTTTAAATTGTGGAAAGGATACGTAGAATGGGAAATGTGCCATTTTGGCTGTTTCTAAGGGTGTCCTGGGGTGGCATTTGTACACGCGCAGTTGTGTGTGCCCGTCACCACCATCCCTCCCCAGAGCTCCGCCATCTTCCCAAGCAGAGACTGCCTGTTGGCAGGGAGCCCTCCCCCTCCCCTCTGCTCGTCTCTGTAGACCCCTGTAGCTTGATCTTTGTGTCTGGCTCAGGGCCCGCTGCAAGGCTGAGACAGTTCCTCTGTAGGTGGTGCAACGGCCTGTTTACCTGTTCAGCGGCAGGTGAATCGTGCTGATGTGAACACGGGTCTGTCGGAGTCCTTGCTTTCGCTTCTGTGGGCATGTGCTCAGAAAGGGAATCGCAGGGTCGTCTGGTCACCCTGTGTTAGTTCCCGGAGGAAGGCCCGCTGCACGTTCCTGCAAGCACGCGTGCAGTTTCTCCACACCCTCACCCGGGATCAGCCCAGGCGGAACGAGGGTCTCTCCAGGTGCTTCGCGCGTGCATCTTGCCTCTGTGTGCGTGCGACTTGGAGTTCCCCTGAACAGCCACTGGTGAGCGCCCGCGTTGCCCAGAGCCTCAGCCGGCCTCTCCTCTAGCCCCTGCAACCTGTCCATCTGTCCTGGGTGCCAGCCAAGGAAGCGCTTGCCACAGCGGCTGGAAGCTGTGCTGCGTGCAGCCCACACCAAACGAGCACAGAGAAATTGGCCACTGGCTTGGTGATGGGGTCATTGGTGACCCTGGGAGAGTTCTAAACGGCTGCTGAAAGTAGAGGAATTTTAAGAGAATGGGGCAAAGATTAAGTACTTGACATTCTGAAGTTTTTTGTTTTGTACCTTAACAAAACTGGGTACCATGGGATTAGGATACAAGTTAGTTTCTGTACATTTTCAGGAAACCAGAAAAGCGCATCCACACTAATTCACTCTAGCTAGTTATAAGGACAGTGAAACCGGGGCAGGGGCTGGCGCGTGGGACACGTGCACACCATACTGCAATGCCTGGTTTGCGTCCCAGCCCTGCTTCCAGTTCCAGCTGCCTGCTAACGCGCACCCTGGGCGGCAGCAGGGATGTCTCAAGTACTGAGTTCCTGCCACCCGTGGGAGACCTAGATGGAGTTCTGGGGTCCTGGTTTCAGCTTGACTCAGTCCCAGCTGTTGCAGACATTTGGAGAGAACCAGCAGATGGGAGCTCTCTTTCTCTGTTTCTCCCTCTCTCTTTCTCTCATATTAAAAAAAAAAGAAAAGGAACAAATAATAAGTGAAACAAGGGCAGCCCTTCAGGTTTAGCAGGTCCCGTGTGTGTGTGGTTTAAGTAGAAAGACGTTGTCTTAATCTGATTTCTCTTGCGTCATCATGTACTCTCTTCCCCCTTCCCAGTACGGTATTTACTCTGCTGTATTTTCAACGTCCAAGGTCCACCTGCCTAAGTACCAGTGCCATACCTGACCACTGAGACTTATCAGAACATAGAGAGAGGTCTGCCTCTTCCTTTAAAAATTTTTAAATTGTGTGTGTGTGTGTGTGTTTTGTGTGTGTGTGAGGATTCATTTATTTATCTGAAAGGCAGAGTTGGAGAGAGAGCAAGAGTGAGAGCGGGAGAGGAGGGAGAGAGACAGATCTTCATCTGCTGGTTCACTCCCCAAATGGCTGCAACAGCCAGGGCTGGGCCAGGCCAAAGCCAGGAGCTTCATTAGGGTCTCTCATGTGGGCCATCTTCTGCTTTCCTAGGTGTGTTAGCAGGGAACTGGATCATAGGTGGAGCAGCCAGGACCCAAACCAGCACGCTTGTGGGATACTGGCACTACAAGTGGTGGTTTAACCCATTACACCATGGTGCTGGCCCCAATCTGTGTAGATCTTTGGTTGAGTACATACCCAGGCACTCCGTATGGATTGGGGTATCTCAAGTGGCATCCTAGTCACTGTGCTGTTTACTTATTATTGCAAAGAGTATGTTAGAAGCAGACCAGAACTGCTAACAGGTGGTCTCGGAGATTGCCTGAGACTGGGCCAAGAGCGGAAGGGAACGTGGCCTCTCCTTTCTGCCCTTTTATCCTGTTGGAAGTGGGTGGTTGTGTGGATGCCCTTCTCACCGTTCAGTGACTGTGGAAGGAAAAGTCTCGCGTGTGTGCCAGCCCTGCCCTGGTCACGTGAGAGGGAGCTCTGAGGCGTCTGTGGTGAGCGACGCCTGGCGTCCTCTTCCTGTAGAGCCGGGGTGCCCGAGCGTCCCCCGAAGTCCCCGGGGCTAACCTGTGCCTCTCCCGCCCAGGACCGCGCCTTCGCCAGAGGATGCTGCCAGTCTGCACTCCCAGCAGGGGGCCGGTGGCGCAGAAGGCGGCGCGGACGCGGAGACAAGCGCAGAAGACCCAAAGCCAGGTGAGTGCTCGGTCCCAGGATGGCCGACTTCTGGTCTCGGCTGTGTCAGAAGGCGACGCCCTTCCACCTCGGGGGAGTCCAGAGCCGCCGCAGACTGCCGTGCCCTTTCCTGCGCTCGCCAGCTCAGCTCTCGGGTTTGTTTGCGCCGTCTCCCTTTGGTTACTTGAGGTAGGACAGGGATTCAGGGGGTTCGCAGTGTTGCGTGAACAGCTCATCCGTGTTTATGTGTAGTCATGTCCGCTAGCCACGCGCCATCAGCTGCTGGTTTGGGAACGTGCCCGGTGACCCCTGCTCTGTCACCGCCAGTGCTGCCGACTCGGGGTGCGCAGTGTGCACTGTGGCTCCGTTCGGGACAGCGTGACTCTGAAGTTGGTGTCTGGCACAGCACGGCGCATGGTGGGAGGTCTGTTTTAAACTCAGCTGTGTTCTGCAGTCACCTGCACCCCGGCTTCGCGCTTCTCCACGGGGCTGCTGTGATGAGGGCTGATGGGCCCATCGTTGTTCCAGTTGGGACAGCAGCCCCGCACCTCGTCGATGGAGACTCAGGAAATACGGTGTTCGGCACCTGCTCCTGTGCGCTGACTGCGTGGAAGTCACCTCCCGTGGGGTCCTGCTGGGTTAGGACAGCACTGAAGGAACTTAGACACTTAGTGTGTCCTGTGGCCGGCAGTTGTAGTGCAGGTTCTCATCAAAAGAGGAACGTGAAGTTCCTGGTGGTTTAGTTTTAGTATTTGTCAGAGCCTGTTCTATTTTGACAACATGTTAATCTTATGAAATGATGTATATTTTAATTTTTCAGGATTATCACCGTCCCTCAGTATCTGTAGGGGACTGGTTCTAGGCCTCCACGTGGATGCCAGAACCAGATATTCAAGTCCCCTGTAGAAAATGGTATCCTGTTTGCATAGAGCCTACACACTTCCAAGTACTCTATTTTTATTATTTTTATTGGTTTATTTACTTGAGAGAGTTCCCGTATACTGGTTCGCTCCTCAGATGCCCATAGTTGCCAGGGCCCAGGCCTGGAGCTGAGAACACAGTGCGTATCAGCCACGTGGGCAGCAGGAACCCAGTTACTTGAACTGTCACTGCTGCCTTCCAGGGCCTGCAACAGCAGGGAGCCAGACACTGAACCCACGCACTCCAGTATCCTGAGCAGTAGGCCAAGCGCCCATGCCTTCCTGGGCAATTTAAGTACTGATACAGTGTAAATGCCATGTAAATAGCCCTACTGTGTTGTTTAGGGGATAATGACAGGGAAACAAACCTATACATGCTTATAGACTCAGTTGATTTTTTAAAAATATTTCAATCTGGCCAGCACCGCGGCTCACTAGGCTAATCCTCCACCTAGCGGCGCCAGCACACCAAGTTCTAGTCCCAGTCGTGGCGCCGGATTCTGTCCCGGTTGCCCCTCTTCCAGGCCAGCTCTCTGCTGTGGCCAGGGAGTGCAGTGGAGGATGGCCCAAGTGCTTGGGCCCTGCACCCCATGGGAGACCAAGAGAAGCACCTGGCTCCTGCCATCAGATCAGCACAGTGTGCCAGCCGTGGCGGCCATTGGAGGTGAACCAACGGCAAAAGGATGACCTTTCTCTCTGTCTCTCTCTCTCACTGTCCGCTCTGCCTATCAAAAGAAAGAATATTTCAATCTGTGGTTGGTTTAATCTGCAGACGTACAGCCCACAAATACAGAGCACCAACTCTGTTTTCAGCTGGATGCTCGGGTCACTGTCGCAGTCACACTCTTTAGTGACTAATTCCTCATCTAAAGGTTGTATCGGTGCAAATGCATATGTTCGTTACAGAGGTGCATATAAACAACCTGTAAAAATCTGACTTTGATTTCCCACAGAAACGTTGTCTGCAAACACTGGAGACGCCCCCATCAGCAAGCCCCCACAGCCACACGTGAAAAGGTACAATGGTCAGCGCTCGGAGGCCCGCCTCTCCTAACACTGGATAAACAATGCGCGCTAAAGGCCTCCTCTTTCCTCCTAGCTTCCATCCACAAATAAAATGGTTCCAGAAAGACGATGTTGTCATCTTGAAGATACAAGTAAGGAATGTCAAGGATTACAGATGTAAATACTTCCGAGACAGGGTCGTTTTCAGGTAGGTTGATATGCGCCGTGTGCTGGGCCACAGGACTGGCCCGTGGCACCGGAAAGGCTGACTGGGTTCTCTCTCCTAGCGCCTGGGTGGGAGACAAGTTCTACAGAGCTGATTTGGAGCTGCAGGGCAGCATCAGAAAAGACAGCTGCAGGTGCGTCATCAGAAACGACGAGCCCGTGATTACTCTGGCGAAAGAGAGAAGGGAGCCGTGGCGCGGCCTGCTCAGACACAGGGTGAGTGCCGGTGACGGAGGCTGGCGGCCGTGGCTCCGAGGGTGACTCTGTGTTCACTTACGGCAGCTGTTCTGTTGGACAGAATCCGAATGTGGCTTTTGATTTTGACCACTGGGAAGAGTGTGAAGAGGACAGCCACTTCTCCAAGGGTAGGACCTGGGCACCCACTCCCTGGAGGGGCTGGGGCCCTGTGTGCCGGCGTGGACATATCCCTCAGCTGACTTTAGGGATCCCACCTTTATGGAAATGGGCCGTTAATAAAGCCAGCCTTCAGAGGTCAGTGTTCTCTTTATGGTGTCCTGGTGCTGAGTGTTCCAGTCTGGGGACTTGCTGACCTTTGGTTAAAAACATAACCTTCTTACAACACTTTTACAGATTCTCTTCCCTAGAATAACTTACTTACAAGCAGACCTCCTCGTTTCTTGCCTAAAATAATGAAAATATAAAATTAGCCGCAAGGTGGAGCTAGAGGCAAAGGCACATCTTTGGGTGGGGGACAGATTCGCTCCTTACCACGCATTCAGCATGTTTCTGATGATGCCTCACTCTTGCAGCTGTGACTTCTAAGAGGCTGCCCTGCAAAGTGGCAGAGGTGGTCGGACCCAGCAGCAGCGCTTCGGAGGCTGACGGGAGTGAGAGTGAGTGAGACTGAAGTCCCGCCGGCAGCCCGAGACTTGGAACAACCATGGCTGTGGCCGTGTGTTGGAAGTTAAGAAAACAAGTGATGCTACCCAAACCGTCTTTCACCTCAAGGAGGAATTATTGCCAAGGGTCATCTTATGCTTCAGGATTGGTAATGGTGACAGATTTCCTGGTCAGTTAAAAACAGGCTGATAAGACCAGCATTGTGGCGCAGCAGGTTGGGCCTCCGCCTGCGACACTGACGTCCCATATGAATGCTGGTTCCAATCCTGGCTGTTCTACTTCTAATCCAGCTCCCTGCTAATGCTCCTGGGAAGGCAGCAAAGTACCGTGGGTACTTGGGCCCCTGCCACCCACGTGGGATGGAGTCCTGGGCTCTTGGTTTCCATCTGGCCCATCCCTGGCTGTTGTGGCCATTTGTGGAATGAACCAGCAGATGGAAGATACTCTCTCCTCTCTCTTTCTCTCTCTCTTTCCCTCTCTTTCTGCCCCAGGGCTGTCACTCTGCCTTTCAAATAAATTTTAAACCGTGGTTGCTATGAGAAGGTTGTCAGGAGGGTGGGAGCAGAGGAGCAGCGCGCTGGCCCTCCTGGCCTGGCTGTGCTGCCTGGCACAGCCGTCGCCTCAGCTCGTCCTGACGCACTCAGCTCTGAGTGGCAGCGCAGACCCTGCCACTCGGTGAGGAACGTGCAGGCCCGAGTCGGCCACTCGCTGCTCTCCCCTGCTGTGCTGAACAGCCTCGGACCTGCCCGTCGCCCTCTGCAGCGGCCTCGCGGGGGTCGCCATAGCTGCCTCCGAGCACTACCGATACCCACCCCGGCTCCTCCGAGTGGGTCTGCCTCGGAGCCGGGGTGAGTGCCGGGGGCCGCACAGTGCCTGCTGGCAGGCCCAGCGCCCTCTGGAGAGGCGGCTGCTGCTTCCGAGTGACCTGCGCTCCCAGGTTCTTTTGTGGCAGAAACTTTCAAGGACCTGCGTGGTGCCCAGAGGGGACTCAGAACACCTGCCGTGATGACGGCCTCGTCCTCGGGGAAGGCGGCGTCACCGAGGTCTGGGAAGAAGCGTGGGCCGCCCCTCTGCTGCGGGCTTCTCTGCTCGTGGGGAAGGTTTAAGGTGAGCTGTTGGGAACCGTGAGGCCCCCTGGACTTCCTCGGCAGCAGCTGAGTGGGAAACGCGTTGGCCCATCGCAGCTGCACGGACATCTTGGTTCTTTACGTCCCGGAGCGCAGACGCCTGAGCGCACGTGGTCCGGTGAGCGGCCTTGGGTCATACTCTGGCCCTCAGTTTCCTTATCTGTAAAGCGAGGCCCTGCCCACCTCGGGGAGCCTGTGCAGAGCCAGAGCTGGCGCGTGCTCTGCGTGGGGGCTCTGGGGGCAGTGCCTTGCTGCTGCGCCTCTCACGGGGACTGCAGGTGGCAGGAGGCAGACCGGTCAGGAAGGGAGGGGTGGTTTCCTTGTCCTCAGCCGGTTGGTGAAGCTGTTGACTCCGCGGGGTGCCTCCTGTGTCAGCTGCTGCAGGCGGGGTCGTGGTGGACAGAGGCCCCGCGCCGTGTCCTGTGCTCACCATGGCACAGGCTTGGGTTGGGTCGGCAAGGGGTTTTTTTTGCTGTCTGTGTCCCAGCCAAGCGGTGGGGTCCTGCCGTCCGAGAAGAGACTGCAGGCCAGCTCCCCCGTGCGGCTCAGCGTGAAAGCCCTGGGCAGGCAGCGGCTGGGTTTAAGCCTGTTTCTTTGTTCAGACGTTCAGCTTTTCCTGATGTCTGTGAGCACGTGGTCACCGCCTTCCTGTACCGCTGTAGCGTCTGTACTGATTTCATGCGTTGAGTAATTTCTTAGGCGCGAGGGGAAAGCACCTTTGTCGTGGCTTCTGAGGTTGTGCGCAGTCATGGGTGTGGGGCGTCTGTTGTGTTAGCAATAAAGCTTCCGTGTTCTGACAGAAACGTGTCCCACGTGTTTCCTCCCGCGTGCCCCTGCAACATCAGATCCCACTCGCGGCCCCTTCTGCCTGGCCCAGGAGGCCAGAGAGGGCTGCTGGGGGTTCGGGGGCACGGACCTGCGAGCGTGAGGGCAGCTCTGCGCCGGGGCTGCCTCCTGCAGCCTGACGTGGCCCGGCCGGGCCCTTTGCTGGCTCAAGACAGAGGCGGCGGCGTCTGAGCAGCGAGGAGAGCAGGCGGTAAAGCACTGGGCCTGCCTGCCTGCCTGAAACGTCCCGTCAGCGGAAGCGGAAGCCCCGAGGCCTGCAGAAGCACACACTTGCTGCTGGCGGCGATGCAGGAATGCGCTTTATTCGCGGCAGCGTGTTGTGTCCCTCGGGCAGGCACACAGCAGCCGCTGGGCCGTGGCTGCACCTGCCGGGGTCACCGTACACGCCTGGAACCCACCCAGACAATTAAGGATACCAAAAATAATATTACATAAGCATCTGATACAATTCTTCTTAAGAAAAAAATCAGGAAGAAATACCACAAATACTGCTTACAAAAATAAACTCCTCACAGCGTTGAGTTGGTTACAAGACACAAACTTGTCACTTGGGGTCTGGCTCCGGCGGCACAACTTCCATGAGCATCTGGAGGTGCATGGTGATGGGCTCTGGAACACAAGCAGCGGGCGGGTGGTTGGTTAGCGGAGCGTGCGTGCCCACAGACGGCTGTCCCCGGAGCCGCGCTGGGGCTTTGGAGCGAGCTGTTTCCATTAAGGAATTAGGAAGCTGCCAAGTATTTAACTGCCACTAACCAATGCACACTCTAGGAAAACTAAGTTACACATATACTTACTACCAGTGTCTAAGTCACTAGGACTTCTGTTTATTTAAAGTGTAAGATCACTCATTGGTTTTTACCACCTTAACCCAACTTCTACCAACTTCTGTAGGCAGCAGCTTGCTGAATCTTCTAGAGCTGAGAAACAAGATCTATTTAGTGTCGTGGGCTTCCAAAGCCTGCTTCCGTCATCCTGGCCAGATTATCTGTTGCCATGATCAAATCCAAGTTTTTTTTTTTTTTTTTTTTTAAGATTTCCTTATTTATTTGAAAGTTAGAATTAGAGCTATCTGCTGGTTCACTGCCCATATGGCCACAACGGCCAGGATTGGGTCAAGTCCCCACATGGGTGGCATCTTCTGCTTTTCCCAGGCCACTGGGAGGGAGCTGGATCAGAAGTAGAGCAGCCAGGCCAGGAGCCAGTGCCCACACGGGATGCTGCCATCAAAGGTGGCAGCTTTTCCTGCTGCACCCACAACGTGGGCCGGAAGGCTGTTTCCTCTCACACGAATGCATTTCCTTATTTCCTTTCCCTTCTGTAGGAGTGCCCACAACCTCACTCCTTCCCAGCGCAGGGTTGAGGTCAGAGTAGAGACGGGGGGAGGGGCTGTTTCAGGAAGGAGACAAGTGCCTGGTGGAAATAACAATATGTTGCTGCTGTTTCACTCTTAATCAACATGAACTAAATTCTCTCGCCACTGTCAGGTCAGTAACGGCACCGATCTCATGGCCCAGGAAGTGGAGGTGGAGAGGACCCAGCGTGCTCAGGCATTCTCAGTCCTGGCTGGCAGGGTCTGAAGCCCAGGTCTCTGCTGGCCCTCTGGTCGGGTTCTACTGGTCATCCCCTGGCTGTCCCCCCTGTGTGTGTGGTCTATAAATGGCACGCACAGGAGTGCCTGCAGGGGAGGCTGCGCCTTGCTGGTGAGACAAACTGAGCAGCGGGCAGGTTTTCAGCCACAGGACTCAGTAACACCACGGGGCTGTGACAGGCCAGACACTGCTGGGATTACATCGTACACAACCCACTTCCTGTCTTCAGGGAGCTTACAGAGCAGGAGGCAGGCCCTGGTGGGGGTGCTCGGGAGCCTGGGAAGACTTTGATGAGGAGGGTTGGTGCACTTCAATTTGTTGTGCAGGCCAGCGCCGCAGCTCACTAGGCTAATCCTCCACCTAGCGGCGCCAGCACACCAGGTTCTAGTCCCGGTCGGGGCGCCGGATTCTGTCCCAGTTGCCCCTCTTCCAGGCCAGCTCCCTGCTGTGGCCAGGGAGTGCAGTGGAGGATGGCCCAAGTGCTTGGGCCCTGCACCCGCATGGGAGACCAGGAGAAGCACCTGGCTCCTGCCATCAGATCAGCGCGGTGTGCCAGCCGCAGTGCGGCGGCCTTTGGAGGGTGAACCAACGGCAAAGGAAGACCTTTCTCTCTCTCTCTCTCTCTCTCTCTCTCTCTCTCTCTCCACTCTGCCTGTCAAAAAAAAAAAAATGTTGTGCAGTTTACAACTTATGAATATAGCACTGAAGTAAAGAAAATAAGCGTAATTGAGTCTCAGAGGCGTCTTTGGCACAAGTGGACTTTAGGTGTGAAAGTGGCTTATGCAGCTAAACTTGTAGACAACAGTTGAGGGCAGGCACTTGGTACCATGATTAAGATGCCACTGGAGAGATCTGCATCCCATACTGGAGTGCCTGGGCCTGCGTCCTTGCTCCACTTCCCATCCAGCTCCCAGCTAACAACGCACATCCTGGGAGGGAGCAAATGGTGGCTCAAGAACCTGAGTCCCAGCCGGCGCCGTGGCTCAATAGGCTAATCCTCCACCTTGCGGCGCCGGCACACCGGGTTCTAGTCCCGGTTGGGGCGCCGGATTCTGTCCCGGTTGCCCCTCTTCCAGGCCAGCCCTCTGCTGTGGCCAGGGAGTGCAGTGGAGGATGGCCCAAGTGCTTGGGCCCTGCACCCCATGGGAGACCAGGAAAAGCACCTGGCTCCTGGCTCCTGCCACCGGATCAGCGCGGTGCGCCGGCTGCAGCGGCGGCCATTGGAGGGTGAACCAACGGCAAAGGAAGACCTTTCTCTCTCTGTCTCTCTCTCACTGTCCACTCTGCCTGTCAAAAAAAAAAAAAAAAAAAAAAAAAGAACCTGAGTCCCTGCCACCCCGTGTGGGAGAGCCACATGGAGTTCCCGGCTCCTGGCTTTGGCCTGGCCCAGCCCCAGTTGTGGGCATTTGGAGAGCAAACCAGAAGAAGGAAGATCTCTTTCTGCCTTTCAAATAAGTGAAAAGTAGACTACATTTAATAAAAATAAATAGTTGTCTTTTTTAAAAACAGATGCAAATGACTGCCGGATGGAGGAGAGACCTGCGGCAGCACAGGCCTTGTCACTCTCCCAGCCCTGGCTCTGTCACTGAGCGACTGGCGTGCCAGTGAGCTCTTAGCTGGTACGCGCGTGTGTCAGGCAGAGGAACGTGGTGTGCTGAAGATAAACATACTTAACACTAGTGAACCGCACTCATCAGAGGTCACGGTGGCCATCTAAGCTTACAGGTATTTTAAGTTAAAAAGGAAATGAGGGACAGGTGTTTAGCAGTCAGGACCCCGTGTCCCACACAGGAGTGGCTGGGTTCAGGCTCTGGCTTCTGAGGCCAGTTTCCTGCTCACACAGACCGTGGGAGGCAGACGCGACCGTGTCAACAAGGGAGGCCCGGACAGTGAGGCGGCAGATGGGAGCTGTCTCCCTCTCTCTCTCCCTCTCCCCCTTCTCTCTCCCTCGCCCTCGCCCTCCCTCTCCCTTCTCCCCTCTCCCCTCTCTCCCCTCTCCCTCTCTCTCCCTCTCTCCCCTCTCCCCTCTCCCCTCTCCCTGCTCCCTCTCCCCCCTCCCCCTGCCCCAGCCCCCCTCCCTAAGATTCTGTTTAAAATGCTTTGCTTTCCCTTCCTGCCTGGCAGGCGAAGTGATGGAAACAGGCGGCCCAGGACGGGCCCGGAGGTGTTCAGCCGGGGGCGGTGGTACACTGTGGGGCGCTGCAGCTCTGTGCTTTCATAGCGGAACCACCTGATGTGATACTTACTTGAGATTTTCTGAGCCCATTCAAACTTGTAGTAGACGAAAAGGAAGTAAAATACAAGGCCGCTCAGGATAAATAACACACAGTAGAGATACTCCCACGCTGGGTTAGTGATGACTGGGGCCAGGACCAAAAACGCAGCTATGAAGGTCACCAGGATGGGGATGAAGATGGGCACCTGCAAGCAGAGCAGCGAGGGGTCAGGGCTGGCTGTGCGGCTGCGTGCGTCCGTCTGTCTTGCTGTCGATGTTTTTCACTGAAGTATGGAGTATGGTGACCTCTACGTGACCCCTCCAGTTTTAGGAACTTCTGTCAGCTTGTCAGTCTTACCTCATCTACTCCACCTTTTCTTTTTCCTAGAATACGAAGAACCCACTGGACACCGTGTCACTGTGCACATCTCAGTGTGTCTCTGATGAGTTCAGTGCCATTCTTCTCCCTCCCTTTTGTGGTAAACAAACTGGAAGATGGACCCTCTACGCTCTACATAGAGCTTCGTGTGACGGCATCCTGCTGCTGCCTTGGCCTTGGCCTCTGTCCCCCGTATTCCCTGCACACTGGTAGCTAGGTTTAGAGGCACGAATACTTCCTGGTGGAGCAGTGCACTTCCATCAGGCACATGTCTGTCTGTCCACTTTGGAATTCCTAAGGTCTGTCAGTGGGCTTAGGAGAGGGAGAGCGGTCCAGTCCCACCATGAGAAATGTCCCTGTTAACCTCCTGGTTTTGAACTGGAGGTGAAGCTTGAGTGGTTTAGCCTCTCCTGCTAACATTGCCTTGATTCATTGCTTCACCGAGGGTACAAAGGAGTCGCCTAATGCTGTGGAACTGTGGAGTGAGGACCTTCACCTGCCGTCCGGTTATTCTGCATTCGCGTTTATGCCGGGTGCCTATGCTTGACTCTTGGTCTCCGTTGTCAGGGGCTCAGGGACTGTGTGTATTTGGCCGCTTCAGCCCACGGCGCTGTGGTATTCTTCATGACGGCCGCTGTCGTGTCATTGCCAGCTCCCAGGTGCTGTGCTGGCCGTGCTGTTCCCCGTTCCCCGGGGCACCCTGTTTAGTAGGAAGTGGCTTCAAAGACCCTCGTGCAGGGTCTGGAGTATGCTTTGTTCTTTTGCAAGGACAGAAAAAACTTTTTTCAAGAAGGGAAAAAATTTCATATATCCATACTGACATTTCCAATTCCAATGTAAGATTATATGTATTTTTTATGCCTTTTTTTCCTGAAAATCTTGTTTCTTAATCATATAAACATAATAATGCACCTATAAGAAATTCCCCAGGAACTACACGAGTAGGAACGTAAGTCACTGGACCTTTAAGGCGCTGTGTGGTTGGTTAACGCACGAAGGGGATGAACAGTCCTGGTAATCCCCTTCTCCGTGGCTGTCACCTGCTTGTCACACAAGCAAGGCTTCTTTTGCTCCTTTGTTAATTTGGGGGTTTCATTTTTTCCCTTTTCATATTTCTTCCATGAGAATAAACACATATACATAAACTTATATGTTCACCTTCCACTGCTGTTTAGGAAGTAGCAAATGACACAATCATAGCTTTGCCCCTGGCCTTGCTCCTGCAGCACATCCAGAGATGCTGACATAGTCAAATGTGAAGTGAGTGATCATCCGTTTCCTGTTGCTGCTAACTATGGTGTGGGTGGCTGAAACACCATTTGAGTGTTGCCTGTTGGCTTTGGGGTCGTGTTGAACCTTTTGCTGATAGAATTGGTGCCTCAAGAAAGAACCTTGTGTATATTTCACATGTCTGCAGTTTCTCTTTGGGATTGGGATAAAGGGCCAAAGAGCAAATGATTGGATAGTTTTGCCAGGTACCGCCCCGAGGGGCAGGGCTCCACACCCAGTGCCAACGGGCAAGGGAGTGAGCTCGTCTTTGCTGCCCACCTGGTGGGCCGCAAGTGCTACTTCTCCTCGTTCTGGCCTGCTTGCTTGATGAGCTTGCTGGGATTCGGAGCTTCTTTGTTTTCATGTGTAAGTGCCTTTGCATTTTTGTTTGAACTTTTAAAAAAAATTTTTTTCTTCAAGGACTGGTGTTTCCCATCTCAATTGTTGGGAACTCTTTCTTTTGGGGGGGGGGGGCAGGGGAGGATATCACCTGCAAAGACTGCCCGCCCCCATTCTGCTGTGTGTGTGTTTCACTTGCTTTTTAAAAAGACTGATTTTTTTCTCTTTATTACTTCTGGAATTTGAGTCCTGGGCAGGCTGCCTGCATTCACGGCTTACAGAGCAGTTCACACTTCATTTGCGCATCAGCACCCTAAGTCTAGAGTCTGTGGTCTTTCAGGTTTCCCACCTAGAGGTCTAACCTCCTTACATTGATACATAATTTAAATTTTAAAGAGACAGAGGGGACAAACTCTCCAGATTCCTGCTGGGCATAGTCAAGGGCCAAAAACTCAATCCAGGTCTCCCACGTGGGCGGCAGGCACCCAGCTGGGGGGCCGTCACCACTGCCTCTCAGGCTCTGCACTGGCAGGAAGGGCCGGGACTGAAACGCAGGTCCCACGGAAAGGGATGGGAAGTGGGCATCCTAATGCCCACAGCAGGGGATTATTTTTGTTTTTTTTTTTGTGTGTGTGTGTGTGTTTAATTTTGGGGACCGAGGTATTCTTTTCCATTATCTTTTCATTGGAATCATTTGCATAAAGGCTGTTGATTTCAGTGTGTGGATGTTATATCTTACCACTTTATTAATAGTTTGTTCTTTGATTCCTTTGTATCTTCCAGATACATAATTATACAATCTTCAAAAGGTTTTAAAGACTTTAAAAATTATTTTCTGCCTCTCACACCCCAAATTGCTTTCTTCTTTCTATATCCCTTGCTAGTATATTCAAAACAATGCTAAATGGGGACCAGCATTGTGGTGTAGTGGGTAAAGCTGGTTCGAGTGCCCTCTGCTCCACTTCTGATCCAGCTCCCTGCTAATGCACCTGGGAAAGCAGTGGAAGATGGCCCAAGTGCTTGGATCCCTGCACCCCTGTGGGAGACCTGGATGAAATTAATGTTCCCATAATATTCATTTTCCATGAACTTTTTAAAGACCCCCTCATTGGCAAGGATTTTAAAAAAAATGTTGCCTCAAAATAAACTTGCCTTTAAGTATCTTCACATAATGTACTGAGAAATTCTGTTTGTTTGTTTGTTTTTGACAGGCAGAATTAGACAGAGAAAGAGACAGAGAGAAAGGTCTTCCTTCCGTTGGTTCACCCCCTAAATGGCTGCTGCGGCCGGCGCACCGTACTGATCCGAAGCCAGGAGCCAGGTGCTTCCTCCTGGTCTCCCATGGGGTGCAGGGCCCAAGCATTTGGGCCATCCTCCACTGCCCTCCCGGACCACAGCAGAGAGCTGGACTGGAAGAGGAGTGACTGGGACAGAATCCGGCGCCCCGACCGGGACTAGAACCCAGGGTGCCGGCGCCGCAGGCGGAGGATTAGCCTAGTGAGCCGCAGCACCGGCTGGGAAATTCTTAAAATCAGATTTTCCTGGTATTCGTTTGTTCCAGATCACTGAAAAAGAACTCTGAAAGAAGCGAGAGTGATTGCGTATTCCTTACAGAGTGATTGCTCTCTCCTCCCTGACACCTCGGCTTCTCGATGTTATTAGGTTTTTCTGCTCTTGGTTTTCTGCATTCGTTATTGTGCTTTCTGAGTTGCCTGTTTTCCTGTTTATTCATCCAAGTATCGAATGTGAGGAAGTTCTTCACGTGCTGTGTAGACGGTGCCCGGGCCTCCGTCTCCTCCCACTGTTGCTCCAGCCGTGTGCGCACGCGCAGTGCCCATGTCCTCTTGGCCCCACAGGTTTGTCTTCTTGAGTTCCGGTTTTGTTGCCTCACAGAGAACGAGACTTGTATTATTTTTTGAAATATTAAATTTTCCTTTGTGGTGGCAGAGGAGGTCACGTGCCAGTCCTGTCTTGGATGCACTTGGAGAGGCGCGTGTTGGGGGGTCCAGAGTTGGAGCCGTAGCTGGTGATGTTTCCAGTCCCGGGCCTCTTCCTAGTGGAGTGTCTGGCTCCACGCTGGCTGGAGGAGGTGTGCTCGCTGCTCCCTGCCGGTCCTGCGGTCTCTGCTCACAAGCACTTCGCAAGGGTGTGGGAGCTGGATGGCTGCGTGGATGGATTTTCATCATCATCTCCTCACCGGGAGATTGTGCATTGCCAAATGATCTGGCTTTGTCCTGGGCAACGCTGTAGGCCTGAGTGCTTGTCTGACACGTCTCGCCCTTGTTTTCTGAGTTTTAATTTGCCTGCTGCTGCTTTGCCTATCCTCTTATGTTTGATTTTCTTTAATTAATTTATTTTTACAGATCATTTACTTGAGAAGCAGAGTGACAGAAAGGGCTTCCATTCACTGGTTTCCTCCCCAAATGGCCACAACGGCAGGAGCTGGGCCAATCTGAAGCCGGAGCCAGAAGCTTCTCGGGTCTCCCACGTGGGTGCAGGGCCCCAAGCACTTGGACCATTCTCCGCTGCTTTCCCAGGCCATAGCAGAGAGCTGGATTGGAAGAGGAGCCACCGGGACTCGAACTGATGCCCACATGGAATGCCATGCAGCAGGCAGATGCTTAGCCCACTGTGTCATAGCGCCAGCCCCTTATGTTTGATTTTCCACAGCTTCATAAACCTTCCTGCTAAAAACCTCTCAATAAGCCAGCTGTGCACAGCTGACAGGCTCGTTCTCCCGTCTCACGTCACTCGTATTTCTGTCAACACTCAGCGTGTACTTCTGTCAGTCTTCTGCCCTTGAAGAGAGCCAGTCTGTGGGAAAACACTCCCTAGGAGAGTATTTTCCTTATTTCAAGTCGGAAAACTATCTTGCATTGTAAAAAAAAAATTTCAAATTCCCAGCTCGAAAACGGCTAAAGCAACAGTAGAGGTCTGCGTAGCTCACACAGCCAGCACGCTGCGCGCTTCACAGGTGTCTGCGCTGAGCAGTCACGTGGCTCACGCAGGGCCGCCCAGCCTGACACGTGCTTCTCGCTTCCCTGGCGTGTGTGGTGCCTTTGGAATGTGACTTCAAACCTCACATGCATGTTTTGTTGAAAACTTCCTGCTGCCTTTGGCAATTTACTCATTTTCTCATATAAACATGAGCTGGAAGTGGAAGGATTAGGAGATTCAAGATTATATAGAGATGTTGGGACCGGCACTGTGGTGGAGTCCTGGCTGCTCCACTTCCAATCCAGCTCCCTGCTGATGCACCTGGGAAAGCAGTGGAAGTTGGCCCAAGTGCTTGAGCCCCTGCACCCACGTGGGAAGAAGCTCCTGGCGCCTGGCCCAGCCCTGGCCATTTGGGGAATGAACTGGCAGGTGGAAGATCTCTGTCGCTTCCCTTCTCTCTACCTTTCAAATAAACAAACCTTTAAATTTAGAGCTGTTACAAACTTCAAAAGGCAACAACAAAGGAGCCTGACACATATTCTCCCAAGAAAACATTAACCAGGAAGATGTTCTCGTGGGCACCCCCATGCAGCTCATTATCCAGGGTCTTATATGATGTGCTCCATTTCTTTTGTCACCTCCTCCCCTATTTGAGAAATGTGTCTTCTGTGGGCAGTGATGTGGCGTAATGCCTGCAGTGCTGGCATCCCATATGGATGCTGGTTCCAGTCCCGGCTGCTCTACTTCCAATCTAGCTCCCTGTTAATGCACCTGGGAAAACAGTGGAGGATGGCCCAAGCACTTAGGAGACCCAGAAGAAGCTCCTGGCTTCAGATTGGCCCAGCCGTGGCTGTTGGGGCCATCTAGGGAGTGGACCAGTGATGGAAGACCTCTCTCTCTCTCTGTCCTTCTGTCTGCATAACGGACTTTGAGATGAATAATCTTAAGAAAATAAAGTGTCTGCTGGTAAAGGCTGTGCCTTTGTTCTGAGAGTCACCCTAACCGTTAGAGCTACCACAGCTGTCAGAACCAGTGGTGGCCAGGAGGTGCCGACCCTTAGATATTTTACATGATAGGTTATATTATCTCCTATGTATGCCCACATAATAGCGTCAGCCCCTCCCTTTAGGTGTGGTCTACAAGAAGCAGTAAGGAAACTGGCTAGGCGTCCTCGCCCCACGGCTGTGCACAGGCTGGCCTGGCCTGCGGCCTGCACTGACCACACGCTGCTCACTGGGCTCTTGCTCAGTGCAGAGCCGTCTACGTCACTGTAAGAAACCAAAGCCGCTCGTGACCGCGGGACACTCAGCTTACCTTGATGGGCCTTTCCAGTTCTTTCCTTGTAAACCTCATCACGATGAGTCCTAGAATCGTCAGGCCATAAACAGCCATGTGGCAAAACTGAAGTAATTGACGAGGGAGTTTATGTCACCAGGAATGATATAAATGGTCGCAACGATCCCCTGGTGGACAGAAGAGCAAATTTTAGGTCATCGGTGCATGGAAACCCGGTCCTCACCGCTTCGCAGACGGCCAGAGCAGCGGTTTCCCTGTGCACAGCACTAGCGTGACAGAGACCCCGGGCAGCCCACCCGGGCAGGGGTTAAACCGGACTTGGCCGTGGGGTCTGTTCTCTGAAGCCTGGGAAGCGGCTTGGGAAAGCCAAACGTTTAAGGATGTGGTTCAACGCAAGGACTGAGCGTGGACGGGTCTGACCAGCCCTGCCTACCGGTGACTTTCCCTTCCAGAGTTCTCCACACAGGCAGGACCTCGGACGATGAAGCTCAGGTCTGGTCTGGGCCTGTGCTGGTTGCATGGCCCTGGACTGGTCTTTCCCCGCTGTGGGTCTCGCTGTCTCCATGGTGAGCAGGTTGATGGACAGCAGAGGGGTGGGGAGCTTGGACAGAAGGCTAGGAATGTGGGTGTCCTGGGACCCCAGAGTGGTGACACACAACCGAGGACCATCCCCCACAGAGCCCCTGACCTCTGAGTTGGGAGTGGCTGCTGTCAGTCACCACTAGTACAATGCATCAGTCTTCTCTGGGCCAGTGGGCCAGTGTCGTTTGTTAGAAGGACCCAGAACAAAGGACACATGTGGAAGATCCACACGGTGGCTGTCGTGGATAAATTCCGGGGGCGCAGCCAGGTGAATTGCTTGTTTGAACTGTCCTGGGTTTTGTTTCAATGCAAGGATCTTGGGAACCTGGGCTTAGCAGTGTGCATCTGTCACCGTGCAAACTGGGGGCCCTCTGCCCTCCAGGTGGGCGCTATTGTGCAGGTCCCATACGTACGTAAAAGATGATGGCAGGGGCTGGGGTCAGGCGCCTGACACTGATGTAAGAGAGCACTTTGAGCATGTGGCCTTCCCGGCCGGCCACATAAACGAGTCTGAAAAACAAGCACACAGCCATCAGCAGCTTGTCCCACAGGCCCTGAGTTAGTGTCCGAGTCCCACTCCTGAGGCCACAGAGGGCCCGCTGGGCAGCCTGGTCGCCCTCCTGGAGGAGGAACCAGGAGCGAAGAGCGGCAGAGAGGAAGGCACCCGGCATGAAGTTGGCAGAGCAGGAAGAGACACTGGAGAGGCCCCGAGATCTTTGAGGCTTAACATATGTGAGAAACACGGGTCCTGGGGGAAGAGCCGGGACCTCAGCACCTAGGGCTGCCGGCAGAGCAGACAGGCGGTGCTGATCCTATGCTACGAAACAAGCCAAAGGAGGGGCGGCTCCGCACGCAGGGATAGTCCGGTAATCTGGAGGATGCTTAACGCTTTAGAGAAAGGCACTGCGTCCCACGTCCGAGTGCCGGCCGCTCGGCCTCTGAGCCAGCAGCAGACGGTGACTCAGGTGCGCGGGCCCAGCCCCAGCCATCACCTGCATGTGCATGTGGGGAGTGAACCAGCGGACGGAATGCAGGTTTCTCTCTCCGCTAGTTCCCTCTGCCTCCCGAGTAGATGAAAAAAAAACATGAAAAGATAATCGAGAAGATGATCTAAGCATTTCTTCAAAAAGTGGCCATAATTAAAGTTTCAATTAGAGACCAGTGGAAAAAATGGGTTGGAACCTGGATCTGAAGTACAGAGAGCTGGAAAACGCAGGTGAGAAATACAAGAAATTCACGATCAGAAACAACGTAAGGCGAATTTAAAATGCAGAAAGCTTTATGATGCGGAGACCAGCGCTCGACCTGAGACACCAACAGCCCCGGATGTAGACATCGCAAAGAAGGAGACTCTTACAGGCTACTGGATTTAGATGATGAGCCCGAGTTAGCATGAACTATAGCAAACGTCATGAGAAACGGTATCCAGAGTGATGAGGGAACTTTCAGATTGGAATTCGATGTAAGTCAGCTGGCGTTCAGGACACCGGCAAGGTAAATGCACTTTTAGATGGATGGAGGCACCCACTCTGCGCTCCCAAGTCTTCTCTAGCACGAGGACAGCTCATGGCAGGGGATTTCAAAGAGCCACGTTAGGGGCCGGCGCCGTGGCTCACTGGGTTAATCCTCCACCTGCGGCGCCGGCATCCCATATGGGTGCCGGGTTCTAGTCCCGGTTGCCCCTCTTCCAGTCCAGCTCTCTGCTGTGGCCCGGGAAGGCAGTGGAGGATGGCCCAAGTCCTTGGGCCCTGCACCTGCATGGGAGACCAGGAGAAGCACCTGGCTCCTGCTTCGGATCAGCACAGTGCGCAGGCCACGGCGGCCACTGGAGGGTGAACCAACGGCAAAGGAAGACCTTTCTCTCTGTCTCTCTCTCACTGTCCACTCTGCCTATCAAAAAAAAAAAAAAAATGTCAGTAATCACATTGACTGTAAACACAGTGTTTGCCAGAGACAGGTTGGATTTGTCCAGACAGAATGAAGCCCGAGGACACTGAGAGGCTGGAGATAAGAGGAACCTGTGACCAACAACAGCCCAAATAGAGCTGCTCTGCCCACAGCCGCAGCAGATCTGTTAAGGCTTTAAAAAAGACGGAGAGTTTCTGCTCACAGAAGGAATCATCTACCGAGATATCAGAAACCAGAGCCTTCGAAACAGCAGACAAAAACTGGGCCAACTACTGTCATAGCGGAGGGTATGAACAGTACGAGTAAAAAGCTTGATAATGATAGAAAAATATGAAGCTACTGTGGAAGATACATTATTGTCAAAGCCATAGAAAACAAAAGGGGACCCACAAAATAAGGTCTTTTAAAAACGTTTTGTTCAGTGATATGTTTACTTAATTTGGAGGGCAGAGTGACAGAGCTTCACTCAATGCCTCAACAGCCAAGGCCAGTCCAGGCCAAAGTCAGGAGCCCCGAGCTCCATCTGGGTCTCCCATGTGAGTGGCAGGGGCCCAAGCACTGGGGCTCTCTTCCACTGCCTTCCCAGATATGTTAGCAGGGAACTGGATTGAGAAGTGGAGCAGGCAGCACACAAACTGGCACCCGTATGGGATTCTGGCATTGCAGGCAGTGGCTTGTTTACATGTTACTGCTGGTTTTACCTAATGATTTCATGCCTATGTGCTTGCTTTATTTGAAAAGCAGAATGGCAGATCTTTCACCTGCTGGTTCACTCCCCAAATGGCCGCACAACGCAGGGCAAAGCAAGGAGCCAGGGACTCCATCAGGGTCTTCTGCTTGAGTGGCAGAGACCAAGTGCTTGGGCCATCTTCCACTGTTGCTCAGGTGCGTGAGCAGGGAGCCGGTCTGGAAGTGGAGCAGCCGGGACTGGAAAAGGCGCTCATGGATCACAGGTGTCCCAAGTGGCGGCGCAACCTACTCTGCCACAGTACCCACCCCGAGTTTTATAGCTTCTTTACAATTGATGCAGGGTTCACATTCTATGACACTACAAAGCAATAAGAAGGCAGGAACATACAGGCCAGTAAGACCTACGTATTTAGAATTACACATTTGAACTTCAAAAAAGGCAGTGAAACTGGAAGGGCATTGATGGAAGGAAGATTTAGGCTCGAGATGCTGCTATGAGCCTCTTAAATTTCATCAGCTCTCCATAAACTGATGCGTGACTGCCCTGCATGGGAAGGGTGGGCTGGGACTGTGGCACAGTGGGCTAAGCCACTGCCTGCAGCATCAGCATCCCATATGGGTGCCAGTTTGTGTCCCCGCTGCTCCACTTGCAGTCCAGCTCCCTGCTAATGTGCCTGGGAGAGCTGTGGCAGATGGGCCACGTGTTTGCACCACTGCCACCCATGTAGGAGACCTGGATGGAGTTCTGGCTTCCGGCTTCAGCCTGCACCAACCTGGACAGCTGCGGTCATTTGGGGAGTAACCAGCAGAGAGAAGATCTCCCCTCGCCCCCCACTGCCTTTCAAGTCTTTAAAACATTTTTTTAACAGAAGTAGAGGGGGCACAGCCGTTAATTTGCTTCCTGGGGTGCCTGCATCCCATATTGGGGTGCCCGGGTTTGGGTCCTGACTCGGCTTCTGATTCCAGCCTCCTGCTCATGGGTACCCTCGGGGGGCAACAAATGACGGCTCAGGCACACAGGTGCCTGCCACCCTCATGGGAGAACCGGGCCGAGTGCCAGTCCTGGCTGTTGAGGCATCTGGGGAGTAAACCAAAGGATGGAAGATTGCTCTGTGGCTCTGTGTTTCAAAATTTTTTTTTAATGGAAGTAACTTTTGTAATTGGATTTAATTATGATAAACACTTCTGGAAAGCTAAACAGGTCAGGAGAAGTCTGACAGCAGCATGAGTCCTACCAGATTTTAATTACTAAAGCTATACAATGTTTTAATAAGCATGACAATAACAAGAACAAACCACAGTGAAACAGTGTAACAGGTGCAAGTGGGAATGATAGTGGCATTTCAAACCAAAAAGGAAAAAAAATGATTAAAAAAATAGTAGTAGGACAGCAGGTAAAGGATTAGAGAAAATAAAATTATAAGGGAACAGCTAAGTATATAATCTTAAAAGAAGGAAGATTTGTCTATGTGAGATAGAAAATTAAGAGTTCATTAAGGCAACATCCCCAATTGGACTCCATAAAAATGGTACACAACAGGGGCTGGTGTTGTGCAGCAAGCTAAGCCCCGACCTGCAATGCTGGCATCCAGGGATGAAGGGCTGGTTCAAGTCCCAGCTACTCCACTTCCAACTCAGGTCTCTGCTAATGCACCTGGGAAGGAGGCAGATGCTGGGCCAAGTACTGGGTTTTGCCTCCCACATGGGAGACCTGGATGCAGTTTCTGGCTTTAGCTTCAGCCTGGCTCAGCCCTGGCTGTTGGGGACATTTGGAGAATGAACCAGTAGACAGAAACTTGCTCGCTTGCTCTCTCCCCACCCCCTTCCTCCCTCTCTGCATTTCAAACAAACAAAACCCTTTTTAAGAAACATATAGAGGGCTGGCACAGCGGTGTGGTAGGTACAGCCTCTGCCTGCAGTGCTGGCATCCCGTATGGCCTCTGGTTCATATCCTGTGTTCCAGCTCCCTGCTAATAGCCTCAAAAAGCAATAGAAGATGGCCTAAGTGCTCTGTACCCACATGGGAGACCCAGAAGAAGCTCCTGGCTCCTGGCTTTGGCCTGGCCGAGCTCCAGTGATTGCAGTCATTTGGGGAGTGAAGCAGAGGATGGAAGACCTTTGTCTCTCCCTCTCTGTAACTCTGCCTCTCAAATAAATAAATATTTCAAAAATATATATATACAACGTAAATCAGTAGAGCACAATCCCAACTGCAAAGGACAGGTAACTCCACTGAGACGGAATATTAGATATTGCCTGGGCCTGGAGGTAGGAACAGAGATCAGCGTTCGGCAGGAGGGAGCTTTTGGGTTGATGGGAATGGCCTGGGGTTGATTGTGATGGGGTTCACATAGTTTATAAGCCTGCTAATGTAACTGAGCTGAGCCTTTACTAAGGGTAAGTTTTATGGTACTTAGACCTCAGTAGGGCTATTAAAGTTGTGTTTTTATATACTCAGAGTGAGCCACTGTTACTCGTAATAGCAGGAAAATATATGACTTTGGAATAAATCTGACAAAAGATGTGTAAGAACTGTACACCCACAACTACACCAGAACATTTTTAGAAAAAATCAGAGATGACCAGGTGAACAGCAGTCCACGCCTGTGGAGTGGGAGACTTGGCACTTCCCCGTGCAGCCCTGCCCCAAGCCCCCAAGGCTCTAAAATCCCCACAGACACGGGAAAACTGGTGACCCCTACGCTGATCCGTTGTCCCCTTTATCCAGACGGACCAAAGACCTAACGGGGAGGCCATGCAAAGGTAATGGGAGTGCCACAGGCCACTGGTCTGGACAATAGTTTCTCGTGTGTGACCCTAAAAGCACAAGCAGCAAGTGCAGAAATTGACAACGGGGGTGGCAGCCAACTGAAAAGCCTCTGCACAGGACAGAGAACAACAGAGTGAAGAGGAAACCGTCCAGCTGCGAGAAAATACTGGCAAAGCATAATCAGACTGAAGGCTGACTTCCAGAGGACACAGGGAACTCCAGAGAACAAGCAAACAACTGTGAAGGTGGACAAAGGACCCGAACAGAAAGGCCACAGCCACATGAAGCAGGCTCAGCATCACTGTCAGAGAAACGGGACTACAAGCCGCAGTGCACCGCCTCACACCTGTTCTAGCGGCCGCGATCCGAGAAGTGAAAGAGCAGCCTTGGTGAGGAGGTGGGGAGGACACTCTTGGTGGGAACCGGAATTAGCGTAGCCATTTTTGAAAACAAAACAGGGGTTCCTCAAAAATCAAAAATAGGATTACTGTGAGATCCAGCATCCCACTTCTGGTTAAACATCCAGAAAAGTCGAAGTGTTCATTGCAGCAGCAGTCACAATAGCCAAGACACAGAGGCAGTCCAGCACCCAGGAACAAATGAAAGGCTGAGAACGTGCTGTGAAGACCCGCTGTGCCAAGGGAAGTAAGCTTGGGCACGCAAAGACAGCCAGCACATGATCTCACAGGTACAATCCCAAAATTCCAGACTCCTGGAGGCTCGGAATGGCAGAGGGGAGGTGGCCTTGGAGGGGGTGCTGGTAGCCAAAGGGAGGCCGGGAGAAGGGCTTCTGGCACCTGTTGCCCGGCAAGGTGACCATGGTTAATCACAGTGTGCCACACAAGGGGACTTCAGAAAGGTCGTGGGAACTGGACTCAAAAGTAAGTTTGTTTTGGTGCAGAAAGAATTCTGAAATCCATGTAATTTTTTTCCATCACAACACATTTTCCATACACTTTTTAAAGACTGATAAATTTCAGAGTTTCAGAATTCAAAAAAATGGGTTCTAGGGGCTGGCGGCATGGCATAGCAAGTTACACTGCCGCCTGTGAGGCTGGCATCCCACGTGGTCACCGGTTTGAGATCCGGCTGCTCCACTTCTGATCCAGCTCTGTCTCTCTCTCTCTCTGTCCACTCTGCCTGTCAAAAAAAAATAAAAAATAAAAAATATATATAGTAAGTGCATGTATATATATATGTGTGTGTGTGTGTGTGTGTGTGTGTGTGTGTGTGTGTGTGTATAGAGAGAGAGAGGTGCCTGACCTATTCACTTTCCTACAGTGAAAGAAATAATATCTAATATTTGCAAAGACATCTAGGATCTAGCTAGGATCTAAACATCCCTGTTCTTGTTCATCAGTCCTCTTTGGTTATATGTTTTGCTCAGCTTTGGTGAGGAAGGGAGAGAAGGAGGGGGAGAGAGAGATGGAGAGAGAAAGCAAGCCGAGTGCTTGGTGTTTGATCTATTTACTTTCTTATAGTGAAATAAACAATACCTAAGCAACTCTAAGAGAAAGATCTGTAGGGTCTATCTAGGATCTGTATCTGCCTGCTCTTGTTCAGTGATCCTCTTTGCTGTTTTTCTCAGCTGCGGAGGAAGGAACTGACTTATATGAACAGTGATACATTGAGGTAGACAACTTACCTTTTTGGGTTCTGTATTTCACCAAATACATGTGGCACAGCTGCACTTTGTAACTGCACATGCTGACACCTGAACTCTCTTTTTTGGGTGTAAGGGACAGCGGCCTCACAAGAAGTGAGGTTCACAGGAAGGGATGTCTCGTTCTCCCCTCCGGGCTCTTCTCCCTCCTGGCTATGCACAGGAAAACATATTCGGAAATTTTTGTCTTTAAAAAAATTTAAATGTGGGGCCGGCGCTGTGGCTCACTTGATTAATCCTCTGCCTGCAGTGCCAGCATCCCACATGGGCACCGGTTCTAGTCTCGGCTGCTCCTCTTCCAGTCCAGCTCTCTGCTGTGGCCCGGGAGTGCAGTGGAGGATGGCCCAAGTGCTTGGGCCCTGCATCTGCATGGGAGACCAGGAGGAAGCACCTGGCTCCTGGCTTCAGATTGGCGTAGCTCCAGCTGTGGTGGCCATTTGGGGAGTGAACCAACAGAAGGAAGACCTTTCTCTCTGTCTCTCTCTCTCACTGTCTGTAACTCTACCTGTCAAATAAAAAAAATTAAATGCTTTATTAATGCCTTTCTTTTTAGTTGAGACTTAGGGAAATCATTTCCTCACACTGTCGCCTCAACTAGAGAGGATGGCACACATCCAGCTGGGCCTAGAGGAACAAAGGAAGAAAAAGTCATGGCTGCCTTGTAATTGTTGGCAATTTCTGCATGCATGTTATATAGTGCATATCATATAGTGCATATTATATAGTGCACATTATATAGTGCATACCATATCGTGCATGTTATATAGTGCATATCATATTGTGCATACCATATAGTGCACACCATATAGTGCATACCATATAGTGATATTATATAGTGCATGTTATATAGTACATATTATATAATGCATGTTATATAGTGCATATCGTATAGTGCACACTATATAGTGCATATTATATAGTGTGTGTTATATAGTGCATACCATATAGTGCATGTTATATAGTGCATATCATATCATGCATATTACATAGCTATATTATATAGTGCATATCATATCATGCATATTACATAGCTATATTATATAGTGCATATCATATAGTGCATGTTATATAGTGCATACCATATAGTGCATGTTACATAGTTTATATTATATAGTGCACACCATATAGTGATATTATATAGTGCATGTTATATGGTGCATACCATATAGTGCATGTTATATAGTGTATATTATATAATGCATGTTATATAGTGCATATCGTATAGTGCACACCATATAGTGCATATTATATAGTACATACCATACAGTGCATGTTATATAGTGCATATTACATAGCTATATTATATAGTGCATATTATATAGAAGTGTTTTCATGCTTCACAACAATCAGAAAAGATACTCTTTCCAATAAAATTCCTCAGTAAGTTCTAGCTGGAAAAGCAACCTGGCTTTCCCCTTCCCCTTACAACTTCCCACAGATCTGGAGCCCTTATGTATCTCCACCAGACCGAACTCCGAGGATGATCTTCCCTATGGCAATCCACCATCGGGATGAGCCACTGAAGCCGGTGGGGAAGAAACACAAGCACCTCGCTCAGGTTGCGAGAATATTTCACTGAGTAGATTCTATCCTAGACATTACACTAGAGCCAAGTGACATGGCTCAAAAGACATGCTTCCTTCAAGGGAATTTATAATAAAATATGAATGACAAATGACTATATCATAGTTAAAACTTGGGGGGTTACAAGTAAGAATATGAGAGCAGGTTAGAGGACAAAAATAAGAATTAATAAATCCTTCAGAAACTAAGGTAACAAGCTAACAAAACAATTAACAAAACAATAATGAATCCTTTCTTATCAATAATCACTTCAAATGTTCATATGTTAAACTCCCTAATCAAAAGACAAAGTAGTTAAATGAATCAAAAATTACCCAACTATATGCTGTCAGTGAGAAACTCATTTTATCTATTTTCTATCTATCTATCTATCTATCTATTTATTTATTTTGACAGGCAGAGTTAGACAGTGAGAGAGAGAGAGATAGAGAGAAAGGTTTTCCTTTTCCATTGGTTCACCTCCCAAATGGCCGCTACGGCCAGTGCACTGTGGCTGGCACTGTGGCTGGCACTGTGCCGATCCAAAGCCAGGAGCCAAGTGCCTCCTCCTGGTCTCCCATGCGGGTGCAGGGCCCAAGCACTTGGGCCATCCTCCACTGCCCTCCCGGGCCACAGCAGAGAGCTGGACTGGAAGAGGAGCAACTGGGACAGAATCTGGCGCCCTAACCGGGACTAGAACCTGGGGTGCCAACGCTGCAGGTGGAGGATTAGCCAAGTATGCCACAGCGCCAGCCAAGAAACTCATTTTAGATTTAAAGACACACATAATCTGAAAATGAACAGATGGAAAAATATTTCATGCAAGTGGCAACCAAGAGATAGCTACACTTATACCAGACAAAATAGACTCTAAGTCAACAACTATCACAAAATACAAAGAAGGATGTTATAAACTGATACAAGGGACAAATTACTACAAATAGAAAAAATAAATATATGTAAGCTCAACATAAGAGAACATAAGAGGAAACATTGGCAGGACTCAAAGGAGAAAAAAAACCTCCAACAATAATACAAAATTTCAATACTGCACTTTCGATAATGAATAGAACATACAAAGAGAAAACCAACTAGGAAACAGAGGTCTTAACACCCAAGACCAAATGGACACTGCTGCCCTCAGTTTGGATTTGCCAATACTGGTTCCACAACAGATCCTGTATTATCACCAAGCTGTTTCAGTTCCTGCTGGTTGTGGTCCTGCATCAATTCTACCCAGCCAGGTTCCTGCCAGGAGACATGGCCTGCTGAGACTCCTTGGTAGGCTTGCCAACCTCTGCCCCCAGTATTTCGTCAAGCACTCCTGAAACTTGGCTCTGGCCCCATTTGTCTATAGGCTGATAGCAGTTCTACCCACCTAGAAACCCAGTAGAACCCCTAGCACACAGCCTGACCCTGGTTACATTGTGAATCAATGCAACAGCCCTATAAATGGTCTCTAGTCCTTCGAAAACCCAGTCTGAGAAAAGGCCTGTTCACTCCAAATCCGCTGGGAGACACAGCTGTCTGTGACACTGGAGGCGGGCCTGAGAACTGTCTTGGCTGTGGACCTGAAACAACCCTTACCTCAGTTATAGCTCACTACGACCACCAACTCAAGTATGGCCACTAAGGCACCCAACCAGTGAGCCACAGGAACCTTTACAGAGACCTAGTTGAAGCTAACTTGCGTGCCTGGCAACAGAGGCACTGCCCTGAAGTGGGCAATCATCCTGGTACCTAGCCACTAACAGGTCTGAAGCCTGGGTTTAGGGAATCACAACAGATAATCTTCTCTGAATTCCGAGACCTGCTATGACAGGATGTAACAGAAAAAAGCCAGAATGCAAAGATCAGTGTGAATACCAGCGTTGTCAGTACAGAGACATTGATGCATGACCACAAGGATCAAGAACAATCAGAGAGGCGTCGGTGCTGTGGTGCAGCGGGTTAACACCCTGGCCTGAAGTGCCAGCATCCCACATGGGCACCAGTTCTAGTCCTGGCTGCTCCACTTCTGATCCAGCTCTCTGCTATGGTCTGGGAAAGCAGTAGAAGATGGCCCAAGTCCTTGGGCCCCTGCACCCGCATGGGAGACCAAGAAGAAGCTCCTGGCTCCTGGCTTCGGATGGGTGCAGCTCCAGCTGTTATGGCCCTCTGGGTAGTGAACCAGTGGGTGGAAGACCTCTCTCCCTGTCTCTACCTCTCTCTGTAACTCTGTCTTTCAAATAAATAAAATAAATCTTAAAAAAAGAACAGTCAGAGAAATATGGCATCACCAAATGAGCAAAAAGGTGCCAGTGATTGACCCCAAAGAGATGCAGATGTGTGATCTGCCCAACCAAGAATTCAAAACAGCCAGTTTAAGGAAGTTCAGCAAACTTAGGGAATAATTCAGAAATGTAAGCAGAAATATTTAACATAGAGGTTGTGACAGAAATGTTGAACACATTTTGGACCTGAGAAACAATGCATGAAATGAAAAGTTTAATAAAGCACACTGACTGCATAAAAGTCAGTGAGATCACCAGGCTGTTCCAAGCCACAGATTCCATTGGGAACAAAAAGCAAACGTATGAAAAGTGATGAAGAAAGCTTATGCCATCTGTGGAACAACATCAAAGAGCAAATTTTGAGTTTATTGAAGTTCAAGAGGGAAGAGAGAAACACAAAGGGTAGAAAACTTATTTAAAGCATAAAACTTTCCAAATCTGGAGACAGGCACCCAGGTACAAGATCAACTGTCACCAATGAGACTCACTCCTGATAAGACTACTCCAAGACTTACGCTAATCAAACTGTCAAAAGTCACATATAAGACAGGATCCTGAAAGCAACAGGGAGAAGCAGCAGGTGACATCTAAGGAAGTACTCACAAGCCTAGAAACAGACTACAGGCTTCTCAGCAGAAACCTTATGGGCCAGGGAAAAGTAGGATGGAATATTTAAATTGCTGAAGGAAAAAACTATCATTGGAGAATACTGTACCAAGTACAGCCATCCTTCAGAAATGAGGGGCGGGATAAGGCTTTCCCAGACAGACAAAAGCGGAGAGAGTTCATCACCTCCAGACCCATCTTACAAGAAATGCGAAAAAGGAGTTCACGCTGAAAGTATTCTAATTAGTAGCATGCAAACATCTGAATGTTTAAAGCTCACTGGCTATAGGGAGTAAACAGTAAATTCAGAATACTCTGAATGGTACTGTAATCATGGTGTATAAGCTACATATCTTTAGTATGAAGATGAAAAGACAAACTATCAACACTTACTAAAAGAATTAAAAGATATGCAACATAAAATTGTAAACTGTTGCGGCGGGTGCTATGGCGTGGTAGGCCTCCACCTGTGGCTTTGGCATCCCCCATGGGTGCTGGTTCGAGTCTCGGCTGCTCCACTTCCAACCCAGCTCCCTGCTCATGGCCTGGGAAAGCAGCAGGGAATGGCTCAAGTGCTTCGGTCTCTGAAGCCACATGAGAAACTCAGAAGAAGCTCCTGGCTTCCGGCTTTGGATTGGCCCAGCTCTGGCTGTCGTAGCCACGTGGGGAGTGAACCAGGGGATGGAGATCTTTCAGCTTCTCTCTCTCTCTCTCTCTCTCTCTCTCTGTAACTCTGCTTTTTAGATTAAATAGACAAATCCTTAAAAAATATAAATTGTTACATCAAAAATTCAAAATGGGGAGACTTAAAACAGAATTTTCTTTTTATACAAAGTTGAGTTGTTGTTAGTTTAAAGTAGCCTGTTGTCACTGTGTTTTTCTGCTAAGCCAGATAACTGCAAAGCAAAAACCTACACCTACACCAAAATAAAAAGCAAAGAATCAAAACGCACCATTAGAAAAATCAATCACAAAGGAAAACTGTAAGATGGGAGAAAGGATCTATAAAACAACTAGAAAACAAGAGGGTGCCAGGAGTAAATCTGTACTTAATAATTACCTG